AGTGGAAAAAGCCAAGTAGAAGAGTTTTACCACAGAATCCTCCTAAGGGTTCGAGAATTGACAGCATCAGTCAGGTAAAACTTGCACTATAAACAAGATAAATGATTGAAGATGTTTAAGAAGCAATTTGATTCCCTCTCCAGTTCCACATTTTGGAGGTCCAACACAATGAAAATTAGGGATTCACAATTACAACTGTCATTTTCAGGACACCAGATAATAAGAAAACTGAACAAGTTTTTAGAAAGAAAAAAAAAAGGGTCAAGTACAAACAAGCAGCCATCAGACTTAGAAGCTAAAAGACATGGATTAAGGCCTCCAAGACAAGGGAGCGGATTATGTCCAATCGAATGTGAGGGTAAAAGCAAACACATTTTCAGACAGGCATGTCTTGAAATATGTACTGCCCTCACATCCCATGACCCCACCTTGGTACTGGGGTTTGAATTTAGGAGTGCTCTACTATTTATCTACATCCTTAGCTCTTTTTGAGACAGGGTCTTGCTAAGTTGAAGAGGCTGGTCTCAAAACTTGCAATCCTCCTGCTTCAGCCTTCTAAGTGGCTGTGCTCAGCCTGCTCTCATACTTTTTATCAGGAAACTATTGGAAAACATGTTCCACCAAATAAGTTAATGAGCCAAAAGTGAGAAAGGCATGGGATCAGGGAAAAAAGGGCACCCAACTTAGAAAAGAAACCCCAGAATGACAGAGAACATTCAGAGTACCTATGCAGTAGATTCAAAAGTTCTGAAGAATTGTCACCCAGGAGGTGAAACTGAATTCGAATGTATTGAAAGATTTTTCATACACTATTTTTGCATTAACTGCAGGCTTTATTTACATTTAAAAAATCAAGGACAATTTCCAACTTTTTTCCCTGCACATATTAACTGAGTGACCTACATATAGTAGGCACCAAAAATATTTTTTGAATGACTGGAAGAATGGGATACCTACACTTGTATAGCATACAATCTGAAAAGGGTGTTATGGTAGGTATGAAGTATCCTAACTTAAGAGGCTCAATATTCTGATGGTACTGATTCATTCTCTGAATAATACCGAATGGCACTAATTCATTTATCTACATGAAGACCAAAAGTAGAACTTCATTTTTAGGAAGGCAATGTGGCCTATTGTTAGGCAACCAAACTCTGCAGCTGGACTATATGAATCCAAATTCCCTTTCATTTAAAATCTGTGTGATTTGGAGTTATTGGACTTCTCTAAGCTTTGACTTTCTAACTAAGAGTTACTTATTCACACGGTTATTGTGACCAGGTTATTGTGAGGTTGGTGTTCCACACGACAGTCCCCTCGAGCTTTGGAATTCTGATTACAAAGTCTGAGATTACAGGAAAATCGAATGTGAGAAAGAAACTTGCCTGGAAGTGGGAAAAAACACTTAACTAGGAGTCAGGATGTCTCCCAGTAGATATGTACTACCATCTAGCTGTGTAGCACTGGGAAATCGTTTAATTTCTCGAAATCTCCTTCTCAACTTCACAGTTCCCATTCGCCCTGCCCAGGTGATCTGAGAAGTTAGGGCTTCACTCCACTTCAGCTGTCCGCTGCCAATGCCCACAGTACCTCTCGCTTTAAGGCGAGGTGACTGTGAGTGGAGGAGTTTGAGCCACCAGGGGGGCAGCATTCTTTCCACCGATCACAAACGTACTTCTTGCAACCCTAAACCCAGCTTAAATAGAACAAAACAGTAGCCTTGGTTCTTTCCCTTCCATTTTATATCTCCCGTCGCCCATGCTTGGTTTCATTTTACTGATGAGTTCCACCGGAGATTCCGCAAAGCGTAGGGTTCGCGCGATACCGACGCCGGAAGTGGGTGGTAGCAGGAGCGCGGAACGCTCGCGATATCTCCGCGGGAAGTGGGTGGTGGCAGGGACGCAACGTCTCCTCTCTCTGGAAGACGAGCAATTCTCTCTAGCGATTGCAGCGGTCCTCCCCAGGCGCTCTCCTCTAAGGAAGAGATACCCTACTGCAGCCTTTCCAGCCCCGAGCTCGCGCTCTCGGCTTCTCCGACTGCACATCTATACCTCGGTGCGAGCGGTAGCGCAGCCTGCGGAGCTCCCTCCCCAACCCTTCCTCGGTGCTGCAGTTAGGCCGCGCCCTCAGGCCCAGTCCGCGGCGGCTCCGGCGGGTGATGCCAAATACAGCCATGAAGAAAAAGGTGCTGTTGATGGGGAAAAGCGGGTCGGGGAAGACCAGCATGAGGTCCATTATCTTTGCAAATTATATCGCTCGCGATACCAGGCGCCTGGGTGCCACCATTGATGTGGAGCACTCTCACGTCCGATTCCTGGGGAATCTGGTGCTGAACCTGTGGGACTGTGGCGGTCAGGACACCTTTATGGAAAATTACTTCACCAGCCAGCGAGATAACATCTTTCGTAATGTCGAGGTTTTGATTTACGTGTTTGATGTAGAGAGCCGCGAACTGGAAAAGGACATGCATTATTATCAGTCATGTCTGGAGGCCATCCTCCAGAACTCACCTGATGCCAAAATCTTCTGCCTGGTGCACAAAATGGATCTAGTTCAGGAGGATCAGCGTGACCTGATTTTTAAAGAGCGAGAGGAAGACCTGAGGCGTTTATCTCGCCCACTGGAGTGCGCTTGTTTTCGAACATCCATCTGGGATGAAACGCTCTACAAAGCCTGGTCCAGTATCGTCTATCAGCTTATTCCCAACGTTCAGCAGCTGGAAATGAACCTAAGGAATTTTGCCCAAATTATTGAGGCTGATGAAGTTCTGCTGTTCGAGAGAGCTACGTTCTTGGTGATTTCCCATTACCAGTGCAAAGAGCAGCGTGACGTCCACCGGTTTGAGAAGATCAGCAACATCATTAAGCAGTTCAAGCTAAGCTGCAGTAAATTGGCCGCGTCTTTCCAGAGCATGGAAGTTAGGAATTCTAACTTCGCTGCTTTCATCGACATCTTCACATCAAATACATATGTGATGGTGGTTATGTCGGATCCATCCATCCCCTCTGCAGCTACTCTGATCAACATTCGCAATGCCAGGAAACACTTTGAGAAGCTAGAGAGAGTGGATGGCCCCAAGCACAGTCTCCTCATGCGTTGAATATTGCCAAAAGCTCTTTATGAAAATGCTGAATTACTTTTTTTGCATCCTTTGTTGTTAATATTCATAATGTCGTGTGCTTAAAAGTGGGCTTTGAAATGTGTGCTGCTTACTACTTCATCTCTTCCCTGTTCCCTAGTCTTGAAACATTGGACACTATTTACTCAGCTATCCAGTAGAGCTTCAAGATGGCCTTTATGAAAAGTTGGTACAGTGTAACACTAAAGTAGGTGGTTTGTGTATGTTCTGATACCTGGTTATAATAGATAAGCCCATCAAAGCCTTTACCAATATTCTCCTGTATTATCAGATTGCAAAGATGGAATGTTCCTATTTTATCAGCAAGGTATTAAAATGCATTTATAAATTCTTCTTGGCTTCAATCATGAATAAACATTAACTTAGCAATTTAAAACATGGTCTTATTTGAAATAATTTGAAAGTGTGTAGAAACTAAAGATTCTGATTGCCCTCAAGTATTGCTTAACTGGAAAACTTAATTTTGTGAGATTAACCCCTATTGTTTACTGAATATGGACTCTAGAGCTAAAACACTTGAATTAGAATTCAGGGCCTTTCACATACTAACTCTAAGAACTTAAGAGAGAGCCATAATTTCACTGTGCTTGTTTCTTCATTTATGAAATGTAGACAATACCACTTTTATAGGAAAGGATTGAATTAACAAAACATTCAGAATGATGCCTAACATACTCAGTACTATTGTGTTAGCTACCATTACTATCTACTAGGCTAATTCCTCCCAAAACACTCTGAAATCTAGCTGAATATTTGAGCCTAAATGCCAGGTATTAATATTTGATGGGCATTTATCTTAACCTCACAGTCTATGAGGTATTACTGTTATCCAATTTCTAGATAAATTCAAATGTGAATAGTTTTGATCAGCCAGTAAAACTATTCCTTGAAAGAAGTCACTTAAGCATGTAAATTGAGAATTATATGAAGTAATAATCACCTAAAAGCAAGGATGTTTAACTTCTGTCCAAATGGTGGGGTATAATGGTTGGGTGGGGGGCTGGGAGACCTTGATTAAGATCATAACAGCTTTCTCATCTACTAAAATTGAGATGATATTCAAAGATTCTTAGATTGCCTGCTTTCAAGGAAAAATAGAAGTTACTAATTTGAATAAGCAATATGTTCTACTGAAATCGAAAACAGACCTAAAATGTCCCACTACAGTTTAGTAATGGCTGTTTTGTAGATTATTTTATATTAAATCTTAAGTATTTTAGAGCCAAAAGACCACTGATAACTCCAAGCTGCCTTGTTTTACATGAGGCAATAGCTTCATAAAGAATAAATATAAGTGATAGGGCTTTAGAATTTTCAAGACTTTATAAAGTTAATTAACATGTATTAAACCCTGTAGTACCAGATGTGATAACAGGGTTCTTACCCATGAAGAGTAAAAAGTGAAGATCTAGGATATAAAAATCACCTAATTACAGCCATTGGCAATAACAAAGATCTCATGAGAAAACTTAAAATCATTTTAAAATACTGCTGGGATTATAGCCATGTGCCACCATGTGCCCAGCAGCTCAGGAGGCTGAGGCAGGAGGGTCAAAAATTCAGAGCCAGCCTCAGCAACTTAGACCCTAGCTCATAATTTTAAAAAAAATTAAAAGAGTTGGGAATGTGGCTCAGTGGTTAAGCACTCCTGGGTTCAATCCCTGGTACCCCCCTCCCCCCCAAAAAAACTTTATGTAATAAGTCTAGTCATTAAAATGACAGTAACAAAATATTCTTTTAACCTGAATCACTCTCTCTATGTTGCTGATCAAGTTGTTAATGTTACTTTTGTACATAATCATTTTACAGTTTGCAAGGCATGGTTCTTTTTGATATTATACAGGAAATTCCAGACAGATAGTATAATATTTAATATTTATTAAAAGATAACAGTGTATTGAACATATTTACAAGTAGTCTCACACAGGACTCACAAACAGTCTTAACTTAGGATATGGATTTGCCAGTTTACAATAAGGAAAAAGGTTATCTTTAGAGCAACTATGTAGCTGAATTTTGTGCAAAAAAGAATTCAACTTTAGCAAATACGTTTATGTAGAAGAAAATGTCCATAAACATTTTTTATTTTAGTACATTCAGAGTAAGGAAAAAACAGGATTTTCTTTCATATAAGTCTCAAGAATTCCCACTTTTTCTTTAGAAAAAAACTGACTTCATATTTTATGGATAAGAAAAAAGTTTGAAAATAACTTTTTGTTTTGTTTTCAGCTAAATTCTTCTTCAATTATTCTTTATTCTGCTTGATAACTTTTTCATGTTCAGCAACTTTACAGGTTCGTCCTCTTTAAACATTTAAAGTAGTTAGGGGCTAATGGTGTAGGTTCAGTGGTACAGTGCATGGTTAGCATGTGCAAGGACCTGGGTTTGAACCCCAGGTCCACACACACAAACAATAATAATTAGTACATATTACATTATCTAAAGATTAAACTTGATGTAGAAATCAATTTACATACCTTTATGTCTTGCAGAGAGTGAACAGGTACATTCTATGTAAGCTAATAATAAGAAAAAATACAGCTAAAGCCATAAGCCCTCTTTAACATTACTTTTATTCCTTTGAGTAAGAGGCAAACAATTTTAATACTTACAATTGTTAATGACAAAACATGGTCCTTGGGGTAAAAGTATGCTTGTGGATGCATACACACACACATCTACGTATAGGTATGTATGTGTATAGATATAATTGTTATAATGAGCACATACAACCACAAAAAAGGTAATATACAATTAGATGAAATACTAAACAAATAATAAGATAAACCATAGATTTCAGAGAAGGGGGATAGGCATGTAGGTATGGAAAGGACAAATTAAGCCTTCAAGGTGGAAATAAGATTTGTTCTGAACCTTAAGAGAGCTATAGCAATAATAGGCTACAACACAGCTATAGAAGGGGAAGGTAAGATACTCCAACTGCAGAATAATTGTGAATCAAAATTGCTAAAGACCAATGCTCACACATCTCATTAAAAAAAATGGGAGATTACAGTGGAATGGGGACTAGAGGAAATTTATGTAAGAAATCTTATATGCCCTTAAATTTAAATTCATCTAGAATTAGCAATGCACTATTAATGGGCTCTTAAGCAAGGAAATGATGTAACCAAAGCAGTTCCTCATGATCAAAAGGAGAAAATGGATAGTAAAGAAGCTGAAGGCAAAAAGCTACAAGCAAGTACAATGATTTTAAAGAAATGAAAGATTTGAGCTTTTGTTACGTTGTTGGCACAGCAAGGACAAGGAGGTCAAACACTTTCAGCTTATCACAGGTAAAACTCAATATGATTTTATAAGTCCACAACATCCAGAAACATTTCATCTTTTGATTCTCAGTAATTAAGGATATCCTGCACTTTATTGGTGAACTCCAGCTTTCTGATCAGTTAGCTATCTTTACAGCAGTATATACACACTAGTGTGCCTGCTTCTTAAAGGTACTTCAGAGCTAAATATGACAATTTCTTAGCAGAGGTTCTCAAGTTTTTTACTGAACCTGTGAATTACCAGAGGAGCATATTTAAATTGCAGTTTCTAATTCCTGTTTTAGACCTGAATTACTTAAAATGTATCTGATTCCCAACACAGCTGGTCCTCAAATCCCATCTCAGACAAGTCATTTAAGCTTCCTGGCTTCAGCATAATTATCTGTAAAATGGGCATAATTGCTATCCTACACAGTTATAAAAATTAAATGAAATAACATATTAAGTGTCTAGCAATGGCCCTGGCACTTGGCAGATGCTAATATAATAGTCCTAACTTCTCCCTAATTTAGGATGCTAATTTAGGAAGTGCAGATACAGGATTTTCTCAAAGCAGACTACAGAATGGTCATGTCAGGTCCTTGTCATTTCCTTACTCAAAAAAACCATTAAGCCAGGAATGGTGGTGCACACCTATAATCCCAGCAGCTCCGGAGGCTGAAGCAGGAGCCAGCCTCAGCAATTTAATGAGGAAGATGAAAATATTCAGTGGCTATTATATTAAACCACCCAGTGAAAGCACATCAAAACACATAACTTAGAGAGATCCTGTTTCAAAATAAAAGAGAAAAACAGGCTGGGGATGTGGCACAGTGGCCCCTAGATTCAATACCCCATACCAAAAAAAAAAAAAAATCAACAGGTCACTGATAATTTTTTAACAAAGTTCAAATTTAAAGGCATAGATCTCCTACATAATTTCCTTTAGTCTTCCACTATGATCTCTCATTTTTAACTAGATCTGCAGAGTTCCTAGTTTGTTATATTAACTAATAAAGACAGCACCTTAGAGGAGCTTTCCTTTCTCTTATCCACTATAAAGAAAGTACTTTTATATATGCTTTTTCCTGTTTTTTTTTTTTTTCTCACAAAAAGACTGATCTTCAAACTGAGATAAGACAAAGAAAAGAGCAGTCCAAGATAAACTATTAAATAGCCCATATACTTTCAGAACTCTTCCTTTCAACTTTTCTCCTATCAATTACTTGGGGGCTGGTGGACAAAATTTTGATGGTTATGTGTCAGAATTCTACAGAAAGTACTGAAGATGATTGCCTTTCCAGTGTCTGTTCCATTCCTTCTGGTTCATGAGGTGAAGGCATGTATTCACTTGGAGGCCAGAGACAAGATCATTTCTAGGTGATGTGATCTGACAAAGTGAGGCAGAAGACTGAATGGAGTTACCAGTTACTTAAAGACAAGTTCTGTTTTCTCAGGTTATTTTGGAACTACTTTGCAGGCAGTAGGGGACTTTAATGATTTTTGAGCAATAAAGTAAAATAATCAATATTAATACAAAATAGTACCTCCCTTTCCTCCCCCCAGAAAAACCAACAATAAAACAAACTAATGAATTTTTAACTTATATTTTTGTTAAAATATAAACTAAGATTAAATTCTCAGTCTAAATTAGACTAAATATAGACTAAATATAAATACAACCCACTGAATGGATTTATAATCCACTTAAGTATTCCTTAAGTGTCCAGTCATTTTCTATTTTCTTCCATCTTTTTCCTTTTTTCTAAATATATTCTGCCCATTCTTCACTTATCATATGTAATTGATTCCATCAAACATCATTTCTCAGGATCAACCTACTTGAATAATCATGAAGCCTGCTTAGAGTTTTTGAAATCTTAAAACTTATCATCTTCACTACACATCCCAAGGCACTATTTTTATCACTTTTAGGGGGAGGGGGGTAGTACCAGAATGTTTCATAAAGAATCAAAAAAGTGGCTTATTTCCATAAAAAGGAAGATGAATATATTCAGTGGCTATTATATTAAACCACCCAGTGAAAGCACATCAAAAACTACTCATCCTTATGTTAATTAACAAAATTATAACAATAAATTCAATTACTACTTTTATCATTCACTTAATGCACACAGGATTCAAGCAATCAAAATGGCTTTCCATATTTGACATCTGCTTTCCAAACACTTCACATTTCAATCTTACATCCCTACAAAGAAATCCAAACGTACTTTCCTTACCTAAAAACACTATAAAAGACTAAAAGGCATTTAGAATTTTTTTAGACCTTGAAAAAGAGTGTTACATTTCCAACCTGTATTTATGTATTTAAGTTATAAGTTATTTTGTGACACAGCTTCAATTAAGTACATCATTGTTCAATTATCTGAATACTGCTTCATCTTGTCAAGTCAAATTCCTTCACATCAAGGCTCTTATTCAAGATTTCTTCTTCTGCAAAATTGATTTTTAAAAAAGAAAAGGGATAAACAAACATTATAAAGAAAAAGAAATTGGGAAGATTTCAAGTAGTAGCAAATTTGGGGTTTGTTGTTGTTGTTGTTCTTTTTCTTTTTCAATATTGGGGACTGAACCCAGGGGCACTTAACTACTGAGCCACATCCTCAACCCTTTTTGTTTTGAGACAGCATCCTGGAAGTTGCTTAGGGCCTCAGGAAGTTGCTGAGGCTGACTTTGAACTTGCAATTCTCCTGCCTCAGTCTCCAGAACCTCTGGGATTATAGGCATGCACCACTGTGCTTGGCTCACAAATTCCTTAATTTAACAAAGGTTTATATTTATGAAAATACTCAAACTATGATAAAATTATCTTTTTTTTTTTTCCATTAAAACACCTTACTTCCAGAAATCAATACATTTCTCCTAGGATACTTTTCAAAATACTAGTGTTTAAATATCAGGAGCAAATCAGAGTGATGTGTAAATCAATCTTTATCATCAGATTCCAATCTGTCCCAACAGGGTATAAGAGCAATATTTAACAATCACAAGTGAAGAGAATTATGATTAATCCAACATTATCTTCTACCAAGCTTCAATAATGATTAATGCTAACCATTATGGGTTGAATTATGTCCCCCAAAAGGTATGTGAAATTCAAACCCAACTAACTTCAGAATGTGACATTTGCAAAAAAAAAAAAAAAAACAGTCTTTAGAGATAAAATTAGCTAAGGTGAGTTCATACTGGAGTAGGGTGGGCCCTAAATTAACTGAAATGACAATGTCAATATAAAATGAGACAGACATGTAATCCCAGGGGCCAGCTTCAACAATTTAGCAAGGCCCTAAGCAACTCAAGTGAGACCCTGTCTCTAAATAAAATACAAAACAGATGTTTTTTGTATTGAGTGCCCCTAAGTTAAATCCCCAGTGCAAAAAAAAAGAGAGAGAGACAGACAGACAGACAGACACATAAGGGAATAAAGCTATGAAAAGATAGAGACAGTGACAGTGGCACAGGCCTATAATCCCAACAACATGGGAGGGTGAGGCAAGAGGACTACAAATTCAAGGCCAGCCTTAGCAATTTAACAAACTCTAATAACAACTTAGATTGGGTCTCAAAATAAAAAATAAACTGCATGTAGTGATACACACCTGTAATCCCAGAGGCTTAGGGAAGCTGAGGCAGGAGGATTACAAATTCAAAGCCAGCCTCAGCAATTCAGCAAGACCCTAAGCAACTCAGTGAGATCCCCCTCTCTAAAGTAAATATTTTGAAAAGGAGGCTAGGGATGTGACTCAGTGGTTAAGCGCCCTTGGATCGAATCTCCATTTAAAAAAAGTGTTTCTAGACATTTTTAAATCCACTTTCCAGCTGGGTGCGGTGACATGTGCCTATAATCCCTGCAGCTCAGGAGGCTAAGGCAGAAGGATCACAAGTTCAAAGCCAGTCTCAGCAAATTAGTGAGGCCCTAAGAAACTTAGGAAGACCCTGTCTCAAAAAATAAAAAGGGCTAAAAAATAAAAATAAAAAGGGGCTGGTATGTAGCTCAGTGATAAAGAGCCTCTGGGTTCAATTCCAGATACAAAAATAAATAAATAAAATAAAACCATTTACAATTAGACAAGAAGATTTCAAAGAGATTTACTTTCAAAAGTTTATATTACAAAAACAGTTAAGTTTCGGGAGTTGTGAATTTTTTTCCTACCTCTGACCCTAACCAGTTGTAAACTACATATGCATAAATAGATTCTGAAAGTACCTGTAAAGTAAGGGTTCACTCCTTCAACCCCCCAATTAAAGAAAACAGAACATATTTTATCACATTAACAACCAAGATTATGGAGCTGGGGTTATGGCTCAGTGGTAGAACACTAGCCTAGCACGTTCGAGGCCCTGGTTCGATCCTTAGTACCACATAAAAATAAATAAATAAAATAAAGGTACTGTGTCCAACTACAACTTAAAAAAAAAAAAAAACAAGATTATGCAGCATTCGCTATGTATGATTTTTATAAAAAGTTGAGAGAAAACTTCAATAGGTGATGCAAAGATCTAGTTAAATCTTACCTTTTAAATTAGGTAGAAGTTCTCCAAGACCACATGGTACTGTGCTCTTCAATTTTTGCTCCACAGGAGAAAACTTAATTAGTGGTGATAGAGACTGTTTTCTTTCACCAAGGGACGTGCGTAAAGATGGTTTTGTATAATCAATGAGCAAATCATCAGTGTCCAAAAAGTTAAGCATATCATCTGCTTGCATATTTTTAGGTGAAGGGCTTGATTCTGGTTTGTGTGTTTCAAGTGCTTCAGAATTAAAGAGGTAAGATTCTTCCCTTTTCTTGGAAAGAGATTTCTTTAGAGCTTCATAACTACTACTAATAGCCTGTAAATTGAAGTCTGATTCTGAAGTAGTCTGTCTTTCTCCCACATAATCTGGAAAAATGCCTCTGTACACAGGACTATTTGATTCCAGTTTAAAATTGGCCTCTGAACTACTAGAACTATTAAGACTTAGGTGACCAACCTCTTCTGGAAGAGTTTCATGTAATATGCCAAAATCTGTATCCTTAAGACTCTTGGAACTAATTTCACTTGCTATCTGAAAAGAGTTCCATAACATAGTCTTATGTATGGAAGGTTCATTATAAGAAGCTTGTGAGCAGTCCAATATTTTAATATACTTCTCTTCACTTTTACCTATCACATCTATTCTATTTCCCACAGTAGGGGAAAATCTCTCTATTTGGCTGATTGTTGAAAGCTTGGTTGGTAAAGGTGTACGTTCTAAATCTTGCTTACAAATTATTTTCTTATTTAACAAATCTGACTGATCTTCTACTGGGGATTCAGTTTTATGACTGGTCACATATTTCTCAGGCATACCCTTAATGCAACCTGAAACAACTTTCTCTTCAGCCAAATGAGATTGATCAAAATCTGAGAATAAACTGGCCATGCTGAATTCTTCTTGATTATGCAACACAGGTAGGGATCCCGACAATACTTCTCTATGTTCAGTATCCACTTGAATCGGTTCTGTACTTCTACTGTCTTCCACTTCAATTGCTTTTCTCCATGAGCTCCTAATTTCAGTTACTAATTAAAAGGGGGGAAAATACAATTTACTAATATTCTCAACATAAAGCCAGCAATTAAACACTTTATTTCTAATGCTGAAAATAAGGATACTGATTCAGTATATGTTCCATAAATATGCTGGTTGGATGCTAAAGTTCCACAAAATACCAAACCCCAACAACATCAGTTAACTCCATCTTCAGCTGATGAAACACAAGATGTGTAAGAAAAGATGTTCCTTAAATAGCATATAGTTTTTCACAATACATACGAGTTATATGCATTAAAAAGACAATTTCTCTTCCATCTAGGTCAGGGTGTAAACTTTTTCTATAAAGGGTCAAATAGTAACATTTTAAGTTTTGCAGCCATCTGATCAGTTCAAACTGTTCAACTCTGCAATTGAAAGTGGCTATAAATAGTATGTCAAGGGAGGGGGTAACAGGAAAAGTAAAGACAGTGGAATGAATCTGACATATCTTTCCCATGTACATATATGACTATACTACAGTGAATCTTTAAAAAAAAAAAAAAAAAAAAATTTGTCAACAACTGAGCAAGTTGTGCTCAATAATTTTTTTTTTTTTTTTTTAAACAGAACAAAGAGCAGGACCAGATTTGATTCACAGAATGTAGTTTGCTAACAACCAATCTAGGCTGTGGTTGAGCTGAACTTGAATTAAATCAGGCATGAAAGACAAATTGTATTTAATTACTCAACCAAGATGATTTGTTTTGGTTACATAAGAAAACCAGTATCAGAACTTTGCCAGCTGGCTGTGAAGGCAACATGTCTGTAATTCCTCCAGCTACTCAGAAGGCTGAGGCTGGGGGATCCCAAGTTTGAGGCCAGCTTAGGTAGTACAGCAAGACTCTTATCTCAACAATAAATAAATTAATTAATGAAGAACTCTGCTTATGAATTATAGGGGAAAAAAGATCTGGTACTATTTGGGGAGAAGTAAAAATCTGTGCAGTTTTTGGCTAATATGCATGGTTGCTGACTGGGAAAATACAGCCTCTATACTTTCTAAATGTGGTCAGATCTGAATGCAGGAGACTTTTTAGAAAGTGGTTAAGTAAAATACTCTCCAGAAAAAAATCCAGGTAACACAACAAAAACAAAATTGTGGTATTATCACGGCAAATTATACCTCTGGAAAGTACATTAAAATCTCAAAATAATACTGATGAAAGACTGAATACTTCACTAAAATTCCCTTACATCACAACAAATAAAGAGCCATTGTCAACTAAGTTGAAAGATACAGAACAGAATTTTAAAATATGTTTCCAAAAGACAATAGGTCTAAGAGTGATAATATATAAGAAAGAGGAAATGAGATAGAAAGCATTATTAACTTACTTAAGTTTTCTGGAGTTCGGGGAATTTGTTTCCTTGTTAAGAAGGGGTTAGAAACTAGAGAGTCGATTAGTTCCTCTAATTTTACTTCTTTTCCTTCAGAGAGCTGTGGTGAATCAGATAAAACTGCTTGGGCAACCTAAAACAGAAAGAGAAAATTTAAAAAACAGCCAACCCCACTAGTCAAATGCAACAAAAACTTCTTAAGAATAGTAAAAGTGCAATGCCACTCCACTGAGAAGCTGAAGCAGAAGTTCCAGGCCATCCTGGACAATTTAATGAGACCTTGTCTCAAAATAAAAAATAAAAACGGTTGGGGTTGTCTAACAGTGGGAAAGTGCCACTGGGTTCAATCCCCAGTACTGAAAAATAAATAAACAAAAAATAAAAAAGAATAAGCACTTCACAGTCAGCAGATCCCCCCAAAGCAGATGGCAAAAAAAAAAAAAAAAAAAAACATGAGCCAGGTACTGTGGCATACACCTGTAATTCCAGCTACTCAAAAGACCAAAGGATTGCAATTCAAGCCTACCAGCAGCTTAGGGAGACTGTCTCAAAATAAAAATTAAATTAAATTAAAAGGGCTGGAGAAGGATGGGGCTGTAGCTCAGTGGCAGAGCGCTTGCCTCACACTTGTGAGGTACTGGGTTGGATCTTCAGCACCAAATAAAAATAAACAAATATAATAAAGGCCTGCTGTCCATCTACAACTACGAAAAAAAAATTTTTTTTTTAAATGGCAGGGGACTGAGGAGTTAGCTCAGTGTAGAGGGCCCCTAGTACCACACACAAAAAAACAACAATGAAACTCCAAGGTACTATGTATACATCATCTGGAGTGAAATAAAACATAAAACAATATTTTCATTATCTTAAATGGATAACCCACTAGAAAACAGTGTAGAAAAACAGATTTATACTTGGGAAGATTTATTAGTGGTATGGACAGTGATCTAAGTTACTATCTGCCACATCTTTGGATTTGACTACTCTATACCCACTCAAATGACTATTTTAAAGCAAACAGATTCTCCTTATAATCCATTTGCACAATAATATCCCTATTAACAAAAAGAATACATTCTGACAATATACTTCCTTGCCAAAAACCTCATTATCATATCCAAATTAGTGAGCAATAGGGATACATTCTAAAGTAAAGATAAGAAAGTGTATGAAATAGTACTCTATTAACTAAGTATCAACAAAAATAAAAAACAAAAAACATATGCTTAACTAAATCCAAATAATGCTAAGGTATGTTATGGAAAACATGTATTAAAAATAATATTAGTGAATGATCGACAAGTAATTTGTGTAAGCTGAGTTCTGTAGTACTGAGCAATAGAGGTATAATGTGTTCAATTACTAGTGAAAAGGAGAATAGCATTAAGGGGCAGGATTAGCTAGAAAACTGAGTTCATGAACAGCAATGTATGTAATCACTTTCAAAATATTTAGGAAACAAACCAAAAAAACCTCTAAATATTCCTTGTTTTAATATTCAAAAAAAAAGCAACATTAAAAAATATTTAAATAACAACTATGTAATGGTTAATCCCTAAAATATGAAAGAAGTATTTTTATATTTTGGGGTTTTTGTTTGATTTGGTTTGGTTTGGTACTGGGGATTGAACCCAGGGTCACTCAACCACTGAGATACATTCCAACCCCATTTTATTTTTTGAGACAGGGCATTGCTAAGTTGCTTAGGGCCTCAGTAAGTTGCTGCGGTGGCATTGAACTTGGGATCCTCCTACCTCAGCCTCCCAAGTCACTGTAATTACAGATATGTATCATCACCCTAGGATTTTTATACTTTTGGATATTTGTAGAATGGAGATGGAGTTCTAAAACATGGATGTAATCTTAGTACATTTATAAGCAATCTATTTCTACTTTTAGGATGGTATCAATTTTGCATTAACCAAGATTTTTATTATCTGTGATCTCCCTTCCCCCAACCAACCTCAGTTAACTGCAAATTAACTGTACTTCACTACTGATTCCAACATCATTGAGTGGAAAAAAGGTATTTAAGTATACTTATCAACAGTCTTTTTCTAACCTCTTCTACCAGATGATCTTGCTCTTTTTGGAAAGGATCACTTTTTGGGGGAGCCAGAGACCCTTCAAATGCTCTAGTCTCTGTATTCTTTGCAACATCTGATACTGAAGAATCTTCCACTTTAAATTCTGGTGTTTTCTTAGATAGTGTTTCATTTTTTTCTTTGGGAGTTCTCATCTTCATATCATAAAGAAAAAAGACATGTAATATTAAAACCTTAATCATGGCCGATCTTGAAGCTTTTTCTTTTTAATTTTTTTAATTTGTTCTTTTAAGATATATTGAAGCTTTTTTTCATTAAACATTCATGTGTAAAATCATGAACCCAAAAAATGTTAATAATGTCATAAAATTATATGTTCACTAGCAGAGTTAAATAATTCCAATAGTTCCACTTGGCAAAAAAACATATAAACAGAAATGGCATAAAATATACAAACACTGAGAAATTAGAAAACAGAAATTAAATTTAATAAAACTATTATAGCAACAAAAATAATATCATTTAGTACAGTCAGAATCAATTGTTTCAGAATATACCTTTTCAAGTAGTGTAACATTGTTTCTATCTGATGATGAAGCTGGCTGTAACAGGAAAGAGGCAGAACTAAAAGGAAAAAACAATAGCAAATTCAAGTTACAAGTAGAAAAAAATTCCATTCACTTGATGTATCTTAATATTTTTTAAAAACTGTCTGCCCCGTATCTGTCCGTTACGATTTCACTCAATTCGTCCCGGTCATCAAAAGGCAGTTTATTCTAGGGAGGTATGGTGACAAGTAGAGCAGTATTTCAGCCCAATTTGTGTATCAGCCTCCCAATTCACATTTTACTTACTTGCTATATATGTTTTAAGTCAATAGCATTTTTAAATATTTTTTAGATGGACACATATCTTTATTTTATTTACTTTTTTATTTATTTTCTATGTGGTGCTCAGGATCGAACCCAGTACCTCACAAGTGTGAGGCAAGCGTTCTACTACTGAGCTATTACCCCAGCCCCAAGTCAATAGCATTTTTTAAAAGGGCTAAATAACCTGATGAACACTCAAAAACTTGAAAAAGGCTTAAAACAGATTCAATTTATTAGAACAGCAATATTACAAGGTTTACAGGGTCCAGATCACAGAATTTCATTGTAGCAAAGTATTTAAGATTCTTTTGATAATTCATGTCTTCAAAATCAATTTCTCATGCTAAATATTGCTTAATTGCAAATATGTTACATATCAAGTCATGAGTTTATTCAGTTTTCATTCACTGTAATCTGTATGTTTATTCTTTAAACTTTTAGATGCCCTGCCCATTTGAATGAATACTAAAAAAAAGTAACTTATTAAATTTTAAAACCTTAAAGGAAATGATAACTTTAAAGTAACCATTTGAGGGGGGATGGAGCCATGGCTCAGTGGTAGAGCGCTTGCCTGGCATGTGTGAGGCCCTGGGTTTGATATAAATATAAATAAAAGATCCATTGATACTTAAAAAAAAAAAAAAAACTAACCATTTGATCTTGACCTCAAAAGATCTTTTAAATTCAAAGGTCAAAAGCTTTTCTACCCTAGGTAATTTAAAAAACAGGATTACCAAAGAGACCACTGTCAACAGCAAGCATATAGTACTGAGCTTTTTCACAGCCATAAGTACAAAATTAAGGGCTTTTGCAAGTATATTAGCCAATATGTGTGTGTGTCTGTGTGCGCACGCTTTTGCAGTGCTGAAGATTAAACCCAGGGACACAATACCTGAATTACAACCTCAACCCAAGCATGTTTATTTTTTTATTTTGAAACAAAATCTCACTAAATTGCCAGGTTGGCCTCAAACTTGAGATCCTCTAACTTTAGCCTCCCTCGTTGCTGGGATTACAGGTATGTAACACAATACCCAGATTAATTTTTCAAATGTTTTCAAATATGCACTCTTGGAATCTTCTTGTATCCTCCAAACACAATTTAAAGTCACTACAATTGCTGAAGGTTCAATTTAGCATTAACAAGATATGATGAAGCTGGCTGTAACAGGAAAGAGGCAGGTATCAAAGGTAAAGGGCTATTATATTTCCCTAAATTTCACATTAAAATCATCAAAAAGCTCTCTGAAACAGGGCCAATAATTTATTGACCAATGTCATTAAGGTGCCAGATTGATTGAGACAAGGGGACAAAGGTTTACATTCTTCCCAAAAGCTATTCCCAGGTAGCATAGTTTAGTGTGAGATAGTGCAATACATACACATTAATTGTTTGATGGATTGACCAAATCAATGAGTAAATGTCATTTGAGGATAGGGTTCTTTGGGTGACAACAATTGTTTCTATTTAAATCACTCTTGTGGAGCCTTGTAATAGAGAACAATAGAAATGCATTTTATACCCTCCTCTCTCACATTTCTGAATTGGCAACATGCTATTAGATCTGCTAACATTATAACCAAAGACACTGCTAAAGCAGCCCTAGCTCATTCCTAATTCACTATCTACTTCCATGCCAAGCAAGACCCATAAAATCAAAGCATTGTAACAGACCAAAAGAAAGGGTATTGATCCCATCATGGCATTTATGCCAAAGAAAGAGCAATTCCCAAAAAAAAAAAAAAAAAAAGCAGCATTCTTTTTATAAGAATTTTTTTTCAAAGGGAGAAATAAATATAAATGTCTAAAAACAAACATAATGGTACAAAGCATTAAGTGGAAATTAGTTAACATAATGCTCATTAAAATATAGAGACAAACACAAAACTGTTTACACTATACTAATATTATATAAACTTTGTATTTTAGAACATGACAGTATCCATTCTTTGTTAGAACTAAATTTATATGATTCCATATAAACTCTAGAAAAGAAATTCAAAGGAAAAAAATGTGACAAGTGATTTCATAGAAATTTTAGGCAATTTTTTTCACTTTAATTTACTATTGTTGCTACATTATATCTAGATAGCTGAGAAATAATAGAAATTATTACAAGAAGAAAGGTGAGATTGAAATTCAATTCTAACACTAACAATGTTCAGCTGACATCTTAATATTATACTACCCTATCTTCAAAGTTAACTAAAGGAGAAAATGTAGACATTAAGGGTCAAGAACAGCATCATCATCACCACTAGAAACAACATGGAAACTTCCCCAAAACCATTGTAAAGAAAAATAGTGACCATAGTGACAGAGAAGGAATCACCAATCACTGAACTTCAGTTTTAAGTATGGTGCAGCCTCCATAAGCTCACTACGTCAAAACCAGCAATGACATTTATGGAGAAGACTGTTTTGATACGTGTAAATGATAACTGCATATGAAAGGGCCAACAACACATTCTAAATCTACATTCTTTCCAGATTTTTAATTGAATAGTTATATCAACCATATTCACATATAAATTTCCCAATAATGTAAGATGATAGTATTACAAACTTAAAATTTTGAGTAAATGCTGAACTATTCAGAAAAGGGGATTTTCTTTTCATTCAATAAGCATAGTCTATCCATATTACACATGAACAAAGTACAGGGATTGAATCCAGGAGTGATTAACCTCTGAGCTAAACCTCCAGCCCTTTTTTAATATTTTATTTAAAGACAGGATCTCACTGAATTGCTTAGTGCATCACTAAGTTGCTGAGCCTGGTTTTGAACTTGCCGTCCTCCTGTCTCAGCCTCCCAAGCCACTGGGATTTACAGGCATGAGTCACCACACGCAGCCTCACAAATACCTTTAAGAGTGAAGAATTCTAAGCAATATAATTTATTCTACATCCTAGAAACTCAACTCCTCACAGGTCTTCTGTTCTGCTAACAATACTAACTTTTCACATCCCATTAAGCATTTTACTCCTCACCATGAAAAGCCTTCCCTAGCAGAGTGTGGTGGCATATGCCTATAATGCCAGGGACTTGGGTAGCTGAGGTAGGAGAACTGCAAGTACAAAGCTAGCCTCAGCAACTAAGCGAGGCCCTGAGCAACTCAGCAAGACCCTGTCTCAAAATAAAAAGGGCTTAGGGATACAGCTCAGAACCACAGTCTGAGTTCAATCATTAGAACCAATAACTGAAGAAAGGAAGAGAGAGAGAGAGAGAGAGGGAGGAATCCTTTGCCTAAACACCCTTCAATATCCCAAACCTATAATTTTTAAAAGTATCAAAGTAATTTAAAGATCTAGGAGATTAAAAGAGGAAAAATGTGAACATCAAAGAATACTTAATATGTCTCCTTTTTTCTATATTAAAAGACTACATTCGAACTACCTTTTAAGGGTTGAATGTCTATCTCCTGTATAGAATTGATAGTATATATTACTATACAATTTTCTAAAAAGGAATCAAGGTTCAATAACATTCATGAATAAAACTCAATTTATGTATTAATCTAGTACCTCCATCAATCTATAGTTCAACAAAAGACTTTAATTGAAATACTTAATTTGCCCTCTCAAAGGAAGACAAACCAAGAAAATAACTAAGATTGATAAGTACCAAATATACCCTCCTGGCATGCTATAAGAAAATTGTGACATGAGGATAAATTGGGCAAGCTAATACTCTACTATCAACACTAGATCTTCAGAGATTTTATTATTTTTCCTTAAGTATTCAGAGAATCAACAACAAATCCAAACTTAAGAAAAAAGAGATAGGGCTGGAAATATAGCTCAGTTGATAGAGTGCTTGCCTCGAATGCACAAGGCCCTGGGTTCTATCCCAAGCACCACCAAAAAAAAAAAAAATTTTCCACAACTAACACTGACCTCCTATGAACAAGAAAGTTATTACAGAGGCAACTGCAAATGGCTCAATTTCACACAAAAGTTTTGACTCTAGTTATAGTATTTCAACTTTCTAAAAATATATATAATGAAAACTACTTCATGTGAAATTTAGAATTATTTTTTTCCCCACAATAATGGAAATTGAACCCAGAGATACTCTACTCCCGATCACCATCTCCAGCCCTTTTTAATGTTATTTTGAGACAAGGTCTCTCTAACTTCCCAAGCTAGCCTGTAGTCACTGGAATTACAGATAGGTGCCAACGCACACAACTTATAGAGCTTTCTGATTTAACTTTCCTAATAATTTTATTTTCATATCTATCCCTCATCTACTTGGAGAAGGTGAACTGAAAGATACCCATTAAAGTCAAATGTCCAGGTGTGGTGGCATGCACGCCATCAGTCCCAGTGAATCAGGAGGCTGAAGCAGGAGGATCACAGGGTTGAGGCCAGCCTCTAAAACTTAGCAAGACCTAAGCAACTTAGCAAGACCTTGTCTCAAATCATAAAAAGGGCTAGAGATGTGGCTCAGTGGTTAAGCACCCCTGGATTCAATCCCCAATACCAAAAAAAAAAAAAAAACCCCAGTCAAATGGCAATAAAAATAATAATAAATAATCTATTCAGTATGTCTTAATTCTATTGCTCCTTTACAATGCTTAATAATCTCAATAAAGACCAAATATATTCCACTAGTAAATTACATACACTTAGAGATTTATATATATATATATATATATAACCTGGCATCAGTTTTAAGAGCCAAAATGAGATAACAGAGAAAATGGGCAATAAAGAAAATAGGACTACTCCTGAAGGAAACTAACAAAGTAAGTTTAGGATTTTCATATGTTAAATTTGGGGGTGAGAGTAAATCAGAGTCTCCCAATATTTTCTGAAACCATGGAAAAATTTTTAGCAAGTGGTTTGTCAAAAGCCTCAGTACACAATATAGATAACTGAACAAGCTGAAATGGGAAACAGCTGAACCAACCAAAGCCTGAATTAAATTCAGTTATCAAACTAGATGATCTCAAAGATTCCCAAATTCTTGACTTCTAGTTAAGTTTTTACAGAATGTTTTCAAAAAAGTTCACAAGTACAAAAAATGGCAAAATTTCCAAAACTTACATTAGATAATTTCTATATACATTTTTTTCTTCAATATCAGATTATCCCCATGAAATACAATATTTAAACTACAGATGGAGAAAAAAATGCCCATGCATCATAAATGCTAAATCTTTTCTGAAAATGTGGGTCTACTATAAAGTATAAATACTGCCTGGTTAAGATAGGGCAGTTATATAGTAAAGTTTGGAAACTTAGTAGAAAAGTTTCGAAATTAGCTTAAGATGGGACTAAAATTACTATAGAAAATCTTTGCCACCTGCACTTCAGATAGAGCATTAATCTCCAAGATATATAAAGAACTCAAAACACTTAACACCAAAAAAATCAACTAACCCAAATCAATAAATGGGCAAAGGCATTTCACAGAATAGGCACTTCACAAAAGAGGAAATAAAATCCATCAAGAAATATAAAAAATGTTCAACATCTCTACCAATTAGAGAAATGCAAATTAAAACTACACTGAGATCTCATCTTATTCTAGTCAGAATGACAATTATCAAGAATACAAACAATAATAAGTGTTGGCAAAGATGTGGGGGAAAAGGTACAGTCATACTTTGCTGGTGGGACTGCAAATTGGTGCAACCACTCTGGAAAGCAGTATGGAGATTCCTCAGAAAACTCGGAATGTAACCACTATTTGATCCAGTTATCCCACTCCTCAGTTTATACCTAAAGGACTGAAAATCATCAAACTACACTACTACACTGACGCAGTCACATCAATGTTTATGGCAGCTCAGTTCACAATAGCTAAGTTATGGAACCAACGTAGGTGCCCTTCAACAGAAGAATGGATAAAGAATATGGTGTATATATGTGCACAATGGAATACTACTCAGCCATGAAAAAGAATGACTTTATGTCTTTCATGGGAAAATGGATGGCCTGGAGATTATCATGCTAAGTGAAATAAGTCAATCTCCCCAAAAAACAAAGGCCAAATGTTCTCTCTGATATTCGGATGCTAACACACAAAAAGGTGTGGAGAGGGAAGAATAGAAATTCAGTGGATTAGACAAAGGACCATGAAGGGAAAAGAGAAGACAGGAATAAGAAAGACAGTAGAATGAATTGGATATAATTTTCCTATGTTTGGATATGCATATTTGACCATGTAACTCCACATCATGTACAACCACAAGAATGGGTATACTCCATGTACATATGTCAAAACATACTCTACTATCATGTAGATCTAAAAAGAACAAATCTTTTTAAAAAATATATAGAAAGTCAATATAAATATCAAATTTGTTTTACCTGTTAGCTAGATCACACACAGCTATCAAGGTATCAATGTCTGCTTTGTGATCCTTTTCTTCATTATGTTGCTTAGGTATATCTAAAGTAGAAAAAATAATTACTTATGTTCATACATGTTCAAGTATTTCTTGAAATTCTAAAACCTTTTTATTTTTTTGTACAGTTCTGGGGATTAAACCCCAGTCTTCACACCTATTAGATAAGTAGTCTCTTAGCCCCAGAACAGAAGAAATCAGAAGATAACAAACACTTAATAAGAAAAGAATTATCCAATTGTTAAGGTAAAGTGATAGGCACAAAAGTAATACAGCACATCTAAATAGTAAGCTTTTATAAAAAGACTGCTACATGTGCAAGGCTATGACCTTGATACACAGTCATGCAAAAAACAAACAAACAAAACAGACAACTGAACCGGAAACTCATACTAAAACAAAATTTCCAAAAGCTGACAGTCCATAAATTTTCCAGTGTTATATAACTATGTTTCCTGTTTAAGTACACAAATCATGTAATAGCACATAAGCCAGCAAGGCCAAAAAGCTAGTGTTTAGCATACTTGGCACAGTTTTTATGCAGCAATCAATCTAAATATTTACTCATCATCTTATCATTGAATAACTATGTGCCACTACTGTACTAACAATGGGAAAAAGAAAGGAGAGACCATGCTTCTAGTGAGTCAGTCAAGTGATGAATGAAGTGTGATACTACTAAGTGTTAGTATACAGAAGTATGTACAAAAAGCAAGAAGTCAGAAGAGACACCTGGCCCAAACTGGGGAGAGGGAAGAGGTATGAAGGTATTGAGAGAATATGGTACTGTAGCATGGGGATTATGCCCTATAGCACTGGGTTAGGGGATATATACCACGGAGGCATAAAGGGAAATGAGACTAGTAAAGAAAGCCAGGGTTATGCTACATAGGATTTGATATTGCAGGGACTACTCCTCTTTCAACATGTTAGTTTCCAAAAGGCTTCCCTATTTGTACATGTGTCCCAAATGTCACTGTATCAGAAGCCAATGTAAATACTATGTAAAGTTTTCCTCTTAATCCATCATTATAAACATGCCATTTCTTATAACATTTTCACCTTCAGGCACCTACTAATTGTAATGAAACTGCGCTGATGCTTATAAACATCCCCAAAATAAGCACAAATACAACTCTACTACAAAACTGGTAGAAAAATCATGAACAAAAATGATTATACACCACTATAAACACCATCTATTGTAGGGAGCCAGAGTTGAAACATTTATTCTGGCATGTAAGAAAGCTTGAAAGGTAAAAATTGGTAAGCATTTCAAATTCTTCCCCCTAATGATAAGAAGCTATTAATGTGTTTTATATCAGAAAATGAAAGGGACCATATTTATGTTAAAGTAAGACCACTGACAGCCATTGTGTATATGGAACAAATTGAATATTGGAGATAGCATAACTAGACTGAATATAATTTCAAGTAAGAAATGATGTGCTGGGGGTGTAGCCCAGTGGTAAAGCTCTTGCCTAACATGCATGAGGTCCTGGGTTCAATTACTAGCACTAATATTTAAAAAAAAAAAAAAGAAAGAAAGAAATGAGAACTAGATGTGAAAATAGAAAATGTGAGGATAAGACATTTGAAAGATAAAAAAATAAAACTGAACTCATAAGAGGGCAAACCAAACAGAAACAGACACTAATTGGTACCCCACCATAAGTACACTAGAACTGCTGAATTCAATTAAGAAAAATAAAGGAACTAAAAGAACAAATAAATATCAACATAAGACAGAAAGTCTGATCAGAATGGCAAGCTCAAACTAAGAAAGGGCATCTGATAAAAGCAGGCAGGCTCTAGGGGCTGGACACTGGAAAATTTATGCCTATCTGGCTAAATTCTGAAGCCACTCAAGCTGGGATCTGAAATGAGAGACTGACATAAAGCCAGGATACTGAAAGAGCTGCTCTCTAATCCTCAAAAGGGATTATAAAAATTCTGCCACCTGGACTGAAGAAGTATAAAGATTCTTGCTATACCTGAGTTGGGGGGAGGGAATGAAAGAAATTTAAAACCTTTACTACTCAAAAGGAGGTATAAAATCCAAAATTATAATGGTTACTTGTTATAGGAATCCCAAAGACATTAACTGGTCTAATTCAAAAGAAAAATCTATATCTATATAGTAACCTATAGAGGCTATTTTATAACCCAGAGCTCCCAAGAATCCTTCAGAGGTAAAGAGACTCAGTAAAGTTGAAATCATGATCACCTTTCTCATGCAAAGCAAAAAACCATGAGCACTGGCAAGCAGAACATATAGAAGCACAAATAAGCAAGACAGAAGACAGAAAAATTAAAAAGACAAAATCAGTATATTTAAAATGATTAGTAGCCAGGTGCTAGGGTACTCAACTGTAATCCCAAAAACTCAGGAGACTTAGGAGTATCTCAAGTTTGAGGCCAACCTCAGAAACTTAATGAGAGTCTAAACAACTTAGTCAAACTATCTCAAAATAAAAAGAACTGGGGATGTAGCTCAGTAGTAAAGTAAAGCAGCTCTGGGTTCAAGCTCCAGTAACAAAAAAATAAAATAATTAGCAAAAAAGAAAACAAAAGAAGCCATAACGAAAGAAGACCATAAAAAAATCAAATTTTGAAAAAGAAGCATAATAAGGCATCTAGAAATTAAGTATTCATAAAGAATAAATACTAAAAATAGGTCAAAAGGCAGATCGAGCTGGGCACAGCAGAGCAACTCAGGAAGCTAAGGAGGGATGTGAATTTAAAGCCAGCCTCAGCAACTTAGCAAGACAGTGTCTCAACATAAAAAGAAAAAAGGTTGGGGATGTGACTCGGAGGTCAAGTGCCTCTGAGTTCCATCCCCTGGTACCAAAAAAAAAAAAAAAAAGCAGATCAAATATATATCTAAAAGATAACTAGCGAACTATAAAAGGAATTTTTAAGGCTAGGCACAGTGGAACATGCATGTTGTACCAGCTATTTGGGAGGCTGAGGCACGATCACCTGAACCCAGGAATCAAAAGACAGGCTGGGCAACACAGCAAGGCCCTGTCTCAAAAAAACAAAAAAGGAAAAAGAAAATAAGGACTGATACCCACGTCCATCATAATGGACGAACCTTGTAAACATTGTATGTAATGTGAAAAACTGTGTAAGCAACAGATTAAAAAAAAAACTTTGGGCTGGGGTTGTGGCTCAGTGGTAGAGCACTTGCCTAGCACGCAGGAGACACTGGGTTTGATCCCCAGCACCACATAAAAAACTACATGAACAAGCCTCACATGCATAAGGCCCTGGGTTCAATAAAAATAAACTACCTGAGCAAAAAATAAAGGTATTGTACCCATCTACAACTTAAAAAAAAAAAAAAACTCATATTGTATGATTTTTATTGTATGAAATATTCAAAATAGGAAAATCTATAGCAACAGGAAGTATAGTGCCATAGAGTGGAAGAGGAGAAAATAGGGAGCGACTTCTTAATGGGTAAGAGATTTCCTTTTAAGACAATGAAAATGTTCTGGAACTAGAGAGTGATGATGATTGCGCAACTATAAATTGACTAAATGTTACCATGTTGTACACTGTGCAATGAATGAAACGGTAAATTTTATGTTATGTTCATTTCACCACAATAAAAAACAAATGGAGAACAAAAGCAATAAATATAAAGAAACATTATAATAATAATAATGACAGAATGAGGATTAAAAGAGAAAAAGATAAATAACCAACCTGGTAGTGAAGCAGGATACTGAAAAAGAATACTCCTTGCATATACTTCCTCTGACACAGGATCAAACGAAAGCGGAGACATAGGTGGTAAAAGATCCACAGCCTTTAAATACAGAATTCACAATTTTGAAGTAAACATGCTAATTACTACAATAACAATGATAATATACAAATGATTCTTTTCCAAGCAAAACTAGAATTACAAAGTATATATCCCATACTGTTTCTAAACCAAAGAGTACAATATTACAAACAAGGGGATCACTTTGTCCTCCAACTATGTCTCAGATATCATGGTATCTCACATGCAGTTTTTCTGGGGTTGTTTTGGTGTTAGTTTTCTGAGACAGGGTAAACCAGGCTGGCCTTGAACTTGCAATCCTCTTGCCTCTGCCTCCCAAGTATCTGGCATATACCACCCCACCCACCTTCATTTTCTTTTTAATACAACCCTCTGAATTTAAAAAAAATTAACTATAAACGACAACATTAGCTTAATGAAAAGTCTATCACATATTTTAAAAAATTACAGAAATCAAAACTTGAACTTTAGACTCAGAGTCAGAGATGATAACACACATAGGGTTTCAAGGACATTTGTAACATGGTAAATCAAAAAGTTACCAAAACTAAACTACTCTCCAAAGGGCAAATCAATGTTACTTACTGGAGTCCAATCTTTAATTAGATTGAAAGGAGACAAACCAAGAAACTCTTCCCATTTTTTACACCACTCTCCTTGCTTTCTAATAATAGAATGTCTTATAGTTGTGAGATCTTCTTTTATTTTACACCTATGATAGCATAAAAAAAACTATTCAAACATGAATATACAAAAAAAATGGAGTGAAATTTAAGAAAACAGCAACAGTAGTAGGTAAGGAGAACGTTTAACCAATATAACACAAAATCAATCAAATAAGCTCTCAAATGAATATTCAGAGTTTAAAATACCCTCTCTCCTTTTAAAACCAGACAGCAATCAAACATCTATTCCATGTACCTTAAAAATGCAATTTTTCTTCTTCAGGGGGAATTCTACGCCCATGCTCTGTTCCTAAATGCAGTCTATAACTACCAGTCTTTCTTTTCAAATATAAAAATTTTTCAGGCTGCGGTTGTAGCTCAGTGGTAGAGTGCTTGCCTAGCACACTGAGGCACTGGGTTTGATCCTCAGTACCACATAAAAATAAATAAAGGTATTGTGTCCATTTACAACTAAAAAAAAAAAAATTTTTTCTGGCCAGGCGCAGTGGTACATGCCTATAATCCCAGCAGCTTCAGAGGCTTAGGCAAGAGGATGGCAAGTTAGAGGCCATCCTTAACAATTTAGTGAGGCCTTAAGCAACTTAGTGAGACCTTATCTCAAAATAAAAAATAAAAAGGGCTGGGGATATAACTTAGTGGTAAAGAGCCTTGGGGTTAAATCTCCAGTATAAAAAAAAAAAAAACCTTTGCTGAAGTTCAGTTTTATTATTATATGACATATATATGCGCACACATACACAAAAGGAGAAAAGTTAAAATTATTTCATAAATTATCAGTGAAAAATAATGTATTCCATATAAAGAAGAAAAAACTGCATTAACTTTCTACTTCATGGGTCTGGGTTGATTACAAAGTTACATTAAAAATTTCACACTTGTTTGACAAAGCTGAACAGGCATTATCTATACAAGAATTTTGCTGAGAAAGCCAGTCTATTCCTCTCATACTAAAATTTAAAAAAAAGATCTTTCTAGTGTACCTCATATGCTTCAGATCTGATAATCTTTCCCTTTGCAATTTGGTCTCTTTTTCAAGGTAGTGAAGGTCTATTGTCAATCTTGCTTGGTCAGCCTGACAACATTCATATTTCATTATTTTCAGGACTTCATTTAACAACTGAATTACTGTTAAGAGATTCAATTTTCCAGCCTCATAAACACTTCCCATATGCATCTAAAGAATCAAAGGGGGAAAAAAAGTAAAAAACTATAGGTTCCTCAGATAATAAATTGTTACATAAATATATCTATCTTTTTACTGTTACATAAAAAGCTCACCCTAACACAAAACTTTATAAATAATTTCAATCTAACTAATATACCATCGTGCTACATTTTTATATGTTGCAAAGGTTGAAAACCAGAGTAAAAGAAATCAAACAGATGGAAAGAAAAAAATCAAGATTTAGAAGAAAGAGCAGTTTGGCAAAGAGATCAGGAGTTCATTTTTTAATCAAAAGTTAAAATCTGGGCTGGGGGTGTAGCTTTGCACTTGCCTAACATGTGCAAAGCCCTGGGCTCAATCCCCAGTACTAAAACAAAATTTTTTTTAAAAAAAGAGTTACAAACTGATGACTCCTAAAAGCTGCTTCCAAAATTGGGTCATGTCCATTTGGCCTGCACAGCTAGAGTATATGCCTGCACAGCTAGACCCTGGGCAAGAACCCAGGGTCTCTTGCATACTATGAAGTAGTCTATCAATGAACTATACCCCAGTCCCTAGTTACCAGTATTTTTTAAATCATAAATTTCACCACGAATATTACAGTAATTTTCTCCAAGACCTCATCGCTTCCTATCTTCTCCCTATTGTTATAGATAATTAATGTACTCCACACCTATTGCCTGTATTCTCTACAGAAATCTAAGTTTATGCATCTTGGTTTTTATGTACTTTGAATTTGATGGGCCTATCATGCTACCTATTAAAGCTTTCCAGAGTCACAACCATATTTAATCTTTGTAATCCCTGTGTTAGAATCAATACCATGTATATAGTAGATACTAAATAAGTCATGATTACTATAAGAAAATAAACTATCCAGATGGAATTTAGTTGAAGGGCAGAAACTAGAAATATCAACTTGGTAATATTATTGTAAGGAAAACCATGGAATTGTTAAGAAAATACAAGTAGATTTGTAATGAGGGGAAAAGAAAAACAGGCATCAAAGGAACCATGGAAAACCTTTTCATTTAAAAGCTAGATAGAGATGGGCACACCTGTATTCCCAGCAATTCAGGAGGCTGAGGCAAAAAGATCACAACTTTGAGGTCAACCTCAATTCAGCAAGGCCCTCAGCAATTTAGAGAAACTAAGTCCCAAAATAAAAAAGATTGGGAATGTAGCTCAGTGGTAAAAAGCCCTTGAGTTCAATCTCCAGAATGAATGAATAAATAAATAAATAACAAGCAAGCGAGCTAGACAGAGAAAAATGAACCATTAAAAAAAAAAAAACACTAAGATCAGCAGTCTAAAAAAAAAGAAAAAAAAACAGACACTGGATATCACAACACTAAAAGAAATCTTAACTGGGTGCAACAGTGTACTACATGGAAGGCTGAGATAGGAAGATCACAAGTTCAGGCCAGCTTCTGCAACTTAATGAAACTCTTATTAAATAAAACCTTATTTTACCAAAATAAAAACCAAAAAGGGCTAGAAATGTAGCTCAGAGGTACGAGACCCCCGAGTTCAATCCCCAGTACCATGAGAGGAGGAAAAAATAAATAAAATGGAATGTTTGACAGATAAAAAATAAAACAGTATGAAGACTTTTTAGAGATAACTTTTCTCTTTGAGAATTTATTAAGAACTAGTACAGTACTATCTACCTACTAAATAATCCTGTCCTCTCTATACCGTGTGATGTATAAGGTATAGACAAATAATAAAAGTTGACAGTAATAAATACATACCCCTTTAAAAGTACCCTCTTTAAGAAGATTTTACTACATATATTCACAAAATTAAAATTTGAAAACAGTAGAAAAATATTTCTAGAAAATCAAACTTAACATATAAAATCACTGCATGGAGCTTTTCCAAAAGCTTTTTAGAAAATATTAATGCTTGGTACAGAATAGAGGACACAGAAACCAATCCACAAAACTACAACTATCTTATATTTGATAAAGGGGCTAAAAGCATGCAATGGAGGAAGGATAGCATCTTCAACAAATGGTGCTGGGAAAACTGGAAATCCATATGCAACAAAATGAAACTGAATCCCTTTCTCTCGCCATGCACAAAAGTGAATTCAAAATGGATCAAGGAGCTTGATATCAAATCAGAGACGCGCCGTCTGATAGAAGAAAAAGTTGGCTACGATCTACAGTCGGTGGGGTCGGGCTCCAAATTCCTCAATAGGACACCCATAGCACAAAAGTTAATAACTAGAATCAACAAATGGGACTTACTCAAACTAAAAAGTTTTTTCTCAGCAAAAGAAACAATAAGAGAGGTAAATAGGGAGCCTACACCCTGGGAACAAATCTTTACTCCTCACACTTCAGATAGAGCCCTAATATCCAGAGTATACAAAGAACTCAAAAAATTAGACAATAAGAAAACAAACAACCCAATCAACAAATGGGCCAAGGACCTGAACAGACACTTCTCAGAGGAGGACATACAGTCAATCAACAAGTACATGAAAAAATGCTCAACATCTCTAGCTGTCAGAGAAATGCAAATCAAAACCACCCTAAGATACCATCTCACTCCAGTAAGATTGTCAGCCATTAGGAAGTCAAACAACAACAAGGGCTGGCGAGGATGTGGGGAAAAGGGTACACTTGTACATTGCTGGTGGGACTGCAGATTGGTGCAGCCAATTTGGAAAGCAGTATGGAGATTTCTTGGAAAGCTGGGAATGGAGCCACCATTTGACCCAGCTATTCCCCTTCTTGGTCTATTCCCTAAAGACCTAAAAAGAGCATGCTACAGGGACACTGCTACATCGATGTTCATAGCAGCACAGTTCACAATAGCAAGACTGTGGAACCAACCTAGATGCCCTTCAATAGACGAATGGATAAAAAAAATGTGGCATTTATACACAATGGAGTATTACTCTGCATTAAAAAATGACAAAATCATAGAATTTACAGGGAAATGGATGGCATTAGAGCAGATTATGCTAAGTGAAGCTAGCCAATCCCTAAAAAACAAATGCCAAATGTCTTCTTTGATATAAGGAGAGTAACTAAGAACAGTGTAGGGACGAAGAACAGGAGAAGAAGATTAACATTTAACAGGGATGAGAGGTGGGAGGGAAAGGGAGAGAGAAGGGAAATTGCATGGTAATGGAAGGAGACCCTCAGGGTTATACAGTGGAGGAGGTAGAGAGAGAGGAGGGGAGGGGAGGGGAGAGGTGGGGAGGGGGGAGGGTGGAGGATGGGAAAGGCAGTGGAGCACAACAGACACTAGTATGGCAATTTGTAAATCAATGGATGTGTAACTGATGTGATTCTGCAATCTGTGTATGGGGTGAAGGTGGGAGTTCATAACCCACTTGAATCAAAGTGTGGAATATGATATGTCAAGAAATTTGTAATGTTTTGAACAACCCACAATAAAAAATTAAAAAAAAAAAAAAAAACCACACATTAAAAGACAAAAAAAAAAAGAAAATATTAATGCTTACCTGACACACTTGTTTCTCTATTTTGTCAAGTAAGAGCCTTGGAATATTAATAATGACATTAGATCCATCTAAAGCATACTGGTTAACAAGACTAAGGACTGAACTAACAACTTCTCTCTCTTTTTCCAAAAACATGAGTGTTTCATTGACTGAAGTCCACAAAGACCGAACCTTTAAAAAGAAACAAATGAAATATCAAAGTCTACATACAGTTTATACATACAGTAAGTCAGGCACCGTAGTGCACACCTATAATCCCAGTGGCTCAGGAGGCTGAAGCAGGAGGATCCCAAGTCAAAGCCAGCCTCAACAATTTAGCAAGGCCCTAAGCAGCTTAGCAAGACTCTGTCTCAAAGTAGAAAAATGGCTGGGCACAGTGGCACATGTCTGTAATCCCAGTGGCCGGGAGGCTGAAACAGAAGGACCGCAAATTCAAAGCCAGCCTCAGCAACTGCAAGGCGCTAAGCAACTCAGTGAGATCCTGTCTCTAAATACAAAATTTGGCTAGGGATGCGGCTCAGTGCGGAAGTGTCCCTCAGTTGTTCAATCTCTGGTACCAAAAAATAATAATAATTATACATATATTAAAGAAATGTAAGCATAAATATTTGCTCACTGCTAGTTAATAAGTAAATTTCCTGGGATGAATTCCAGTGAGAAAATTAAACTACTAATTCTAATAGTTTAAAAGCATTGATATTACTTTTAAAGGGCTTGAAAATGAAATAATTTCTCAGAAGAATCTAGATCAATTATAATTTTCAAAAAAAAATCTTTATACCAAGATACAATTAGTATTTTCTGTATTCTAAAAATGTCATTAATCTTAATGGAGAATTTTCAAGAAAAATAATAAAAAAAGTTTTCAAGAGAAAAGAAATACTACTAAACATTTATCTTAAGTCATTCAGATTTCAGAAAAGTTAAAATATAATTATGCTTCTCTAAAAGCAGAAACTCTCAGGCCTATATTAACCTATGTTCACTGAAATGCTTGTGCAAGGGCTGGGGTTTTAACTCAGTGGTAGAGTGCTTGCCTAGCATGTTGAGGCACTGAGTTCGATCCTCTGCACAGCATATAAATAATAAAATAAAGATCCATCAACAAAAAAAAGAAAAAACAATTTAAAAAAGAAATACATATACAAGAATTTCCACAGTATATTTATCAAAGTTTCAGATAGACCAGAGAAAAAAGTTTTAATGGATTATTGCACTGCATGGTGACCAGTTATTAACAATACATATTTCAAAACTGCTAATAGATTTTAACATTCCCATGTCAAAAAAAAAATGATAAATTGGTAAGGTAATCAATGTTACTCACTTGACTAAATTTTTTAAATTTTAAATCTTTTAAATTTACATAAAGATCAACATAGCGCATTGTACCCCTAAAAAAGCATTATCATTATTTATATCAATTAAAATAAGAACATTAACAAAAACATTCTAGAACTTTTATTTGTAATAGTTAAAACTGGAAACAACGGTTCATCTAGATTGAAGATTTGACAGGCTATATATTATGATTTGCACATTTTTTGTATTTAGATTATTCATTATCTTATCTGAATCATGAGAAGACTACACTAACATGGGTGTAGTCATGTTTACCGTATTCTTCTTACTTGGAAAAATCTGTTGAAGTATATCTCTAATTAAAGTGCTGCATAACAAGGTAAAGTTGTCCCCAAACATAGACTTGGTTGGTGGCCTCTTGGTCTCACAGGATGGGATTCCCTCCTAATTCATAATCATCCTGTATCCAGTTCTCAATTTTTACAAGTCTAGAATTTTGTCTATTAATGACTCAAAGCTGATGGACTCAGGGGAAATGAATAATAACCATATTCAGGACAGAACGATGTAAAATATTAATAGGTTTCATACCAACCTATTAAATTTATCATCAGTGATATTGCATTCAATAGTAAGAATGTTCCTATTCACAAAATTAAAAGATCCATAACGAAAGTAACTTTGGCTGTTTCTTCATTATTGTAGTCCAAATATCTAGAAGATGCCTGGCACATAGAAGGCAATCAATAAATACTCACTGTCCTACACAATAGCATACACCTGTAATCCCAGCAACTCGGGAGGCTGAGGCAGAAGGATCACAAGTTCAAAGATAACCACAACAATTTAGTGAGACCCTACACAACTTAGTGAGACCCTGACTCAAAATAAAAAATAAAAATGCTTGTGGATCAGGGGTAAAGAACCTCAGTACCAAAAAAATATATTTTCCTAAATTTACCATCTCCCTTCAGCTAATTTATTTTATTTAGCTAAATTAATACCAGGAATTAAGTTATAATCAAGCAGAATTTTTCTTGCTGGAATAAAGATTTTAAATTCATCATTTAAAACAAATTTTGCATGTGTACTTAATCATATAAATTATAAACCACTATTTTTATTATATTCAAAGTTTTACTAGCATCTTACTGATATTGTCTTATATATCATCTAAAAAGAGCATAAAGAAAAAAAAAAAGTAGTATTACTACAAAAAGAAACTGCAAAAAGAAAATAGAATACAGTTGCCAGGTATGGTGGCACATGTCTATCATTCCAGCTACTCTGGAGACTGAGGCAAGAGGATCACTGACTCCCAGGAATTCAGTGCCAGCCTGGGCAACAAAGTGAAACCCTATCTCTTTGAATGAATGAATGAATGAATGAATGAATGAATAAATAAATAAATAAGTGTGTGTGTAGATATATATTAAAAAATAGTCCAATTAAGCAATTATCGCATATCACAAAAGTCAAAAAGACTCAATATGTCCCTTCAAAGTTGTCTCACCTTTTGAATTTTCTCTTGTATGTTACTTTCATCCTCACAGGGTTCCATTCTAGCAAAAATTAAATAATCTAATTAGTCATAAGAAAATTACACAGTGATTTAATATCCAAATTGGTCCACAAACCCACCTACTAATAGTCATTCCAATTAAAAAATTATAATAAAAATAAAATTCAAGCTCAAAGCAACAATAATTTTTAAGACTGGATTAGAAATCAGAGCTATGCTCTAATCCTATCATCATCTAGCTACTGACATATTATTTTAATTAATGTTTCTGAGAATCTGTTTCTTCAAACAAATAAAATGCAACTTCTATAGAATACATATAAGCCAATTCCAGCTCTAAAAGTCACTTACTTTTTTATTTGGTTTTGCAGTTCTATACATTCTGATCTCAAATTTCGTACTTGCTTAACTGATAATCTGGAAAACATATAAAATGTCAACTATAATTCCATTACAATTAGCCATCAAAACCCATTTAAATATATTCCCTTTTTATATCCTTGCTTCTAGAGACACCCAATAGTCAACCAAGACTCTGGACTCCCTTCAGTAGTTACATGAGGATGTAACATATAAGGTACTACTGAGATGAACAACAATTTGTAGGCTAATATTCTGAATTCATTGAGTAGAATGGTGGAGGTCAATAAGATTACTCTCTTATCCTTATCTCATATATCTAGAGGGTAAACTTAAATATTATAAAATATAGTCAGGCAACATTTCCATTTTAAGGTAATTTCAAAGGATTCTGTAGCATTATTAGTAACAATCATTTGAAAAATTATCTTAAGGGAGCTAGGGATATAGCTCAGTGGTGGAATGCCTGCCTCACATGCACAAGGCCCTACGTTTAATTCCTAGCAATGCAAAAAAAAAAAGAAAGTTAAATATGGAATATCTACTTAAAGAAGCATTTACTTAATAAAATATCTACTCAAAAAACTAATAAATACACATTGAAAGTAATACATTAATTGCGCTTGGTGGCGCCCATCTATAATCCCAGTGTCTTGGAGACTGAGGCACTTCAAAGCCAGCCTTACCGGATTAGTGAGGCTCTGTCTCTAAATAAAATATTTTAAAATGGGCTGGGGAGGTAGCTCTGTGATTAAGTGCCCCTGGGTTCAATCCCTGGTACAAAAAAAAGTAATAATGTAAAAATTTATAGAATGAAATATCAAGTCCAAAAAGGATACAAAATAAAATGACCACAATTTCAGCGTAAAAAATATATTTCATAAAAAAAGAAAAAGCACATAAGAAATTAAATTTTTTAACTAAAGTGACTTTATCCTTTTCTCTAAACTTTCATTTACAATATGCCTAGAGCTTAAAAATACTTTATTCACAAGTTATCTGATTTCAAAATGTAAACAAAGGGCTGGGAGTGTAGTTCACTGTAGCTCAGTGGAAGAGCTCTTGCCTACTATGTGTGAGGCCCTAAGATCAATCCCTAGACTACAAAACAAATAGTAAATGCAATTTCATATTTCTACTGAAGTCACATTTGATGACATGTGTTCACAAAGAAAGGAAATATTTTCTATCAAAATACTACTTACTGTGCATTTTCCTGATATTGTTGGGTAACATAATCTTCTCTTTGCAAAATTTGTAAAAATCTGTTACGTGAAACATGCCATCTGGCCATGCACTTGTGCATATCTTGTGGCTTTACATTAAATGTTTCTGTAAAATGTAGAGAAGAATCTACATGGAAGACAATATAAGAAAACAGACTTATAAGCTAATAAATATGAAAAGTGTTCAATTTTTACCAGGTGCAGTGGTGTACATTTGTAGTCTCAGCATTCACAAGGTTGAGGAAGAAGGATCACATAAGCCTAGGAGTTCAAGGCCAGCTGGGCAACCCAGCAAAACCCCTTCTCAAAAAAATAAAAATTTAATTTTAAGAAATAAACATCATGTAACTAACAATTCCTTAAAAGCTATTATACCACACACATAATACATAAAAAGATAAAACTAAATGTTAATGAAACCAAGATAACCTTTTTTAAAACTAGTTTAACTAAAAAGGTTATCAAAAGCGAAGTTTTTTTAATATAATTATCTGGCAGAGATTCTCTGAACAAACACATTGTTATATATATGAGCTATTAGGCTTTTTAACAAGATCTTTTAACAGCAAAGAAAGGAAAGTTAACTAAAAGAGATAAGGTAAGGCTAGGGACGTAGGTCAGAGCAGAGTATTAACCTAACATACTCAAGGCCCAGAGTTTAATCCCCAGCATGGCAGAGGCAGAGAGAGAGAGAGAGAGATAAAAAGAGATGAGGAGCCAGGCACAGTGCCCCATGACTATAAAGCCAGCAACTCAGGAGGCTAAAGCAGGAGGATTGCATGTTCAAGACCAACCTCAGCAATTTAGCAAAGCCCTGAAGAGATTCTATGTCAAAATATAAGGGCTGGAGATATAATAGTTGGTAGAGTGCTTGCCTTGCATGCACAAGGCCCTGGGTTCAATCCCTAGCACCACAATAAAATAAAACAAAACAAAACAACAAAAAAGGGCCAAGCAGATGGCACATGCCTGTAATCCCAGAATTCATGATGCTGAAGCAGGAGGATCACAAATTCAAAACTAGCCTCAGTAATTTAGCAAGGCCCTAAACAACTTAACAAGACCCTGTCTCACAATAAAATATAAAAAGGGCTGGGGATGTGGCTCAGTGTTGAAGCACCTCTGGGTTCAATCAGGGATAGCAAAAGAAGCGGGGCGGGGGATGCTGGGGATGTGGTTCAGAGGTTAAGAAACCCTGGGTTCAAAAAAAAAATTAAAAAAAAAAAAGAAACCCTGGGTTCAATCTCTGGTACCCAAAATAGGAGATGAGGTATAATCAAGCTGGTGGCACACACACATAATCCTAGCAATTTGGGAGTCTGAAGTAGCAAGATCACAAGTAGCCTCAGAAATTCAATGAGACTGTCACTGTCAACAACATAAAAAAAAGTTACAGTGCAAACATTACACATATATCAGCCTATGTATTCAAATATGTATACATATATCATACTGGTAAATTAATCAAATCCATTCAAAACAGAAATTTCCAACACATTACTAGGAACAAAAATAAATTTCTAACTCATTCAACACTATGTATTAGAGATCAAAAATTATAACCTGCAAGCCTAATTTGGCCCACCTGCTATTTTTGACAGCCCAATAAGGTAAGAATGGTTTCTACATTTAAGGGTTGTAAAAACAAAACAAAGAGATATTCAACAGAGACTCTAGGTGGCTCATAATTCTAAAATGTTTATTATCTGGCTTCTACGGAAAGCCAAACTCCTATATTAAAACATAATAACATATATAAAATAATGTAAATAGTAACCAAGATTCACTTTGAGATTTCAACATATAATTCCAGTAAAATATGAACTATTTGATTTTTGAGGTAAATTAATATTTTAACTTATCTTGCTTTATTAAAAACCTCTTGATTTTAAAACTGTGAAGAATATTAACAATTTAAGAATCACACTAGGCACAATGGCACATGCCTGTAATCTCAGTGACTCAGGAAGCTGAGACAGGAGAATCCCAAGTTCAAGGATGGCCTCAACAACTTAACTTAGTGGTAAAGCACTCCTGGATTAAATTCCCAGTACCACAAAAAAAAGAAAAAAAATTAAGAATCAAAACCAAACAAGCCAGGCACGGGGCATCCACCTGTAATCCTCACGCTCAGGAGGGTGAGGTAGAAGGATCTCGAGTTCAAAGCCAGCCTCAGCAACAGCGAGGTGCTTGGAAACTCAGTGAGACCCTGTCTCTAAATAAAATACAAAAGATAGGGTTGGGGATGTGGCTTAGTGTCGAGTGCCCCTGATTTCAATCCCTGGTATCAAAACAACAACAACAACAAAAATCCTACTATAAGATTTACTTACTTTTAGAATTGGTTTTAATATATTTTAATGCAACAAATCTTGCAAAATGATACATCAGATGAATAAACTTAGGACCACCAGGAGACAAAAACAATGAACCAACAACTTGAGGAAAGCTATTTCCACATTCAGCCTATGAAGAGAAGAGACAAGATGAGTTGAAAACCTTATCAACAATAATTCTCATATTTATATCAAGTACTTTTTTTAAAGAGTGACAATCTTGAAAATGGCTATATATCAGGAGGACTTTACTTTAAGGGAAAGCTCAATCATCAGTACTAATCATTAGCAACCCCTCCTCGTAGCATAAGGCTTGAATAAATCCAAGTCCATTGCAAAGTGGAACATGGGCAGAGAGGGCCAATCACCACCCCAACCCACTCCCTCCTCACATCATACTATTTTTGAAGCATAAAAAAATTTACCAGGATTATTCTGTTTGAACCACACATTGTTTGGTTTTTCTAAACTCTACATGTATTTGGTCAAAAAGATAATTATAATTAAATAAGCTCTAACCACTGATGTTATTTAAAGAAACATACTGAAATAATCTTGGCCAAAAAATATTTTACGTAGGGACTGGGGTTGTAGCTCATGGTACAACACTTGCCTAGCACATGTGAGGCACTGGGTTCAATCCTCAGCACCACATAAAAAATAAATACATAAAATAAAAGTATTGTGTCCATCTACAACTAGAAACATTAAATAAATAAATCAATCTCTCTCTCTCTCTCTCTCTCTCTCTCCAGGCATAGTGATGCACACCTATAATCCTAGTGACTCAGGAGGCAGAGGCAGGAGGATCTTAAGTCCAAGGACAGCCATGGCAATTTATTAAGACCCTATCTCAAAATAGAAAATAAAAAGAACTGGAAGCCAGAAGTAGTCATGCACATGTGTAATCCCAGTGGCTTGGAAGGCTAAGGCTAGAGGATTGTGAGTTCAAAGGCAGCCTCAGCAACTTAGCAAGGCCCTAAGCAACTTCAAGAGACCCTGTCTCAAATAAAATATAAAAAGGGCTGGGAATGTGGCTCAGTGGTTAAACACCCATGGGTTCAATTTCCAGCCAAGAAAAAAAAAAGAACTGGGGACGAAACTCAGTAGTAGAATACTCAATACCAATGAAAAAGATTTACATCCAAAACGTTAATGCAGTTTTTTTAAATTTTTTTTAACACCTTCATTTTATTTATTTTTATGTGGTGCTAAGGATCGAACCCAGTGCCTCATAAGTGCAAGGCAAGCACTCTACCATTGAGCCACAACCCCAGCTCCAGATGTAGTTTTTAACAGCTTTTAATTTCTTAAAGTCTTCATCTTCCAAAAAGAGAATACTTACAGAAATCTTTTTTAACCACTCACAGCAGTGTTTCCGGAATTCACTGTCACTTTTTTGATCAAATGGAGGCCAGCAAAATCTTTAAAAATAATAATAGCATTACACTCATATACTCAAAAAAATCAAACTCAGCAAAATTTAAAATCACATCAAATTTATTTCCTATACTAAGAACATTAAAGCAAAACAGATTAAATGTAACATTCTTAGGGGCTGGGGTTGTGGCTCAGTGGTAGGGCACTCGCCTAGCACACATGAGGCACTGGGTTCCATCCTCAGCACCATATAAAAATGAAATAAAGATATTGTGTCCACCTACAACTAAAAAAAAATATTTATTTTAAAAAATGTAAAGTTCTTACATTTCACCTAGATAGATACCAATCTAAGAAATTGGGTATTTTTATCTATAGGGTTGAGATTAGTGCAGTTAAGGAATATATATATGAATAACTAATGAATAAATTTAATACATATACATACAAATAATTAAGAAGCAGGTATTTAAAAGTACTGAAAATAAAAGACAAAGCTCTCAATGGATTCACTTGACCAAGGCATAAAGATGGTATAAACTAGTATATTAAAGGGAGAAGATATTTTTTTTTAAGAGAGAGAGAGAGAATTTTAATATTTATTTTTTAGTTTTCGACAGACACAACATCTTTGTTTGTATGTGGTGCTGAGGATCGAACCCGGGCCGCACACATGCCAGGCGAGCGTGTTACTGCTTGAGCCACATCCCCAGCCCAAAAGGGAGAAGATAGTAAAGGAAAAAAATTTAATGTATCTACATGATGAGAGAAGGAGAAGGATTGCATGAGAGTATGATTGCTAGAGATTTATTTATTCTAATTTATTTGTGGTTTCTATATAAAACGTTTGACAGCGCAATATAAATATTAACACAATCTGAACATTATTTCAGACAGAAAAAACTCAAAATTACATACAAAATAACTTAGAACTTAGACTACTGGGTGTTTACATTTTTACAATCATCTTAAACTTAGCACAGGCTAAACTTAACAGGAATGATTTTTGCCTATAACAACTGACACTTTAGAACATATCACTGAACAAAATATTAAGGATTTACAGAGCACTGGAAAGTTAAAATAGACAAAATAAATAACACTGCCTATAGAAGTAGTAAGGCTTGGGGTAATTAACTTAAAAAATAGGACAAGCTGGGTGCAGCAGCACATGTGATTGGAGAGGCTGTGGCAGTAGGATCGTGAGTTCAAAGCCAGCCTCAGTAACTTAGCAAGGCCCTAAGCAATTCAGCAAGATCCTATCTCTAAATGAAATATTGAAAAGGGATGGGGATGTGGCTCAGTGGTTAAGAGCCCTGGGTTCAATCCTCTGTACCAAAAGGGGATGGGGGGCAAAATTAAATTTATAAACAGACTGGTATCAGTTAATTATTTTGCTAATTAAGACCATGAAGATTGTTAGGAACTAATTTTATGAAACAAAACCTATATTACCTATGAAATACATAATGATTTTAAGGTAAGTACCCAAAACAATCACCCATATATATAAAAGTTAAACATTGCCGTATGTGGCACACATGGCTGGTAGTCCCAGCAACTCAGGAGGCAAGGCAGGAGGATTGCAATTTCAAGGCCACCAATGGCAACATATAAAAATAAACATAAGGAATATGTTTGACAAATAAATCCAGGGTTCGGACATTACATTCATTTTGTATAATTTACTATTAACCTTTTACCTTCATTTATAAGTTTTAAGTGTCCAGAAAAGCGGGTATATTTGAAACACTTCTTTGAAATCCCTATCATTACAGTATAGGGCTTTGCCAAATAAAAATACATTTTCAAAAATTTTACCGATTAAAACCTTATGGCTTGTTTTAAGCATTTCAAGAAATACTAGAAAAGGTAAGGAAGTATATCTAATTCCTAAACCCACCAATCTGACAGTATCACTGTTGACATTTCATCCTTTGTCCTTTTCCCCTACGTATACTTAATTTTTCTATGAATATATTATATGTTATAAAAAATAAAAAAGGGCTGGGCATATAGCTCAAGTGGTAAAGCATCTCTAGGTTCAACCATCAGTACCACACACACACACACACACACAAAGTTAAGCACTAAATTTCTAAGACTCAAACCTGAATTTTGCAATATCCATTCAAAACAATAGTTAATCTTCAACAAGTTAAAATTCTGGCTTACATCAAGAAAATAAAATGAAATAAATAATTTTTCCTTACTTAAAAACTTCTTTGGTGAGTGACTGGTCCAGCGTTTGAAACAAAAAATAAGAAACTATTTGAAAGGCATCTCGGTTCAGTTTATCAAACATATTCCTAGTGGTTTAAAATTAAAAAGAAGTAGGAAGAGAAAAAGGAAATGATTAATAAAACAGCATCAAAAGCTGTGTAAGAGTTTGACACAAGTTAATATTTTTTCATTCTCTTCAAGAGGTCAAGGCAAATTAATTTTTCAGTCATGTACATTTTATAACCGATTCAGAACATACAAATTTTTATTCCTGATTCTGAAAACACAGATCCAATAGAAGAAAACTGGCCTTGCTTTATTGCAGTGAAAACATTCTACAGAAAGGGAAGGAAAACCTTGATATGAAGACAATACCAACCAACAATCAATAAATAACATAAAAAATAGATAATTTTTTTTAATATTTCATTTTTCTCAGGCATTATTTTAAGCCTTTTACAGGTAGTAATTCATCTAATTTTCACTAGCACATAAGGTTATAAGTCTTATGCTGTTAGCTTTAACATGCATTATTTTATTTAATCCTAATGGTAATAGATAGTAATTTGATTAACCTCATTACACAGTGGAGGAACTTAAATTTAGAGAAATTAATATACTTGTTCAAAACTAACCAGCCCAGCCAGGCGCAGTGGCACTTGCCTGTAATCCCAGTGGCTTGGGAGGCTGAGACAAGAGAATTGTGAGTCTAAAGCCAGCCTCAGCAACCACAAGGTGCTAAGCAACTCAGTGAGACCCTGTCTCTGATATACGAAATAGGGCTGGGGATGTGGCTCAGTGGCCCCTGAATTCAATCCCCGGTACCAAAAAAAAAAAAAAAACATAATCAGCCCAGCGCAGCAGTGCACTCCTATAATTCCAGCAGCTTGGGGGGTTGAAGCAGAAGAATTGAGAGTTCAAAGCCAGCCTCAGCAACATAGCAAGGCCCTCAGCAACTTAGGGAGACCCTGTTTCTAAATAAAATTTATATATATATAAACAAACTGGGGACGTGGCTCAGTGGTTAAGCACACCTGGGCTCAATCCCAGGTACCAAATAAGGAAAAGAAAAAATAAATATGTGTGTGTGTGTGTGTGTGTGTGTGTTTGTGTAGGAAAGTACTGACTTGAATATGTCCATGACCCAAAACCCAAATCTAGGGTCTCTCTCTCTCTCTCTCTTTTTTTTTTTTTTTTTTTTTTTTTGTGGTGTTGGGGATTGAACTCAGGGCCTTGTGCATGCCAGACTTATCCCCAGCTCCCCAAGTCCAGGGTTTTTACAACTAGATTTTATTCCCAGAACCATCCTTATGATATAATGCTAGCAAATCCATTAAGTTTTTATTGTTCCAGTTTCCCTAATTAATCAAAACAAAGCCTAAAACACACACACACATATGAAAAAAAACAAAAACAAAAGACCCACTAAACCCATAAGAAATGTCACACAGCTATAAGAAATCAAGAGTTAATATAAAAGCTGAAGGTATAGTTCAGTGATAGAACTGTTGCTTAACATATAGAAGGCTCCAGGTTTTATCTACTACAACACCACCAAAAAAAAAAAAAAGTTAACACGAAAAGCAAAGCATCAAATATATTTCCAAGGAATCAAATCAAGTGAATTTTTAACTTAGTATTACTATTTTCGTGCTTAACTTCCCATTCCTATCCATATGTCAAACTCTTTTGTCTCTAGAAGGTCTGTATTCCTCAAGCAATACAAATGAAGCTCCATCTATTCTACTTCCTTATCATCTCCGAAATCTGTTATTTTTCTCACAGAAGACACTGTTCTTGTCTGTGACACTTACCGTAATCTCTAATAAGACATTTATTGCAGATTTATTCACTCAACTAGACTTAAAATTTATTAAGAAAAGTTTACATCTATTCTCTTCACCACTGTACACCCAGGTCCAATATCATATCAAATTCAATAAATATCTGTTGATATTTATTTATGGTGGCTCATGCCTGTGATCTTGGCTACTCTGGAGGCTGAGGCAGGAAGGTTGCAAGTTTAGGCCAGCCCTAACAACTTAGCAAGACACAGTCTCAATTTTTTTTTTTTTTTTTAAGAGGGCTGAGAATGTAGATCAGTGTTAAAGCACTCAGCTAGCCTGCAGGGCTCCCTGGGTTTGATTCCCAAAAAAATAATGAATGAAAAAAATTAATTGAACCTGTTGAATGAACAAAAATTATCTCACTTCTTTCCATTCCCACTGCCACCTTAGTTCAGGCCTAGATAGGTAACTATGAAGCCCAACTTCTCTCTCTAACCCAGTCTCTGTAAAGCAACAAGCATGATCTTTTCAAAATGCAAATACTATGCAATGGAACTGGCTGGGTCATATATCAATAGCGTGTTTAACTTTATAAGGAAATGGTTAAGCAACTATATGCTCACCCAACTAGAATCTTACAGAATTGCAAACCAAAAAGAATTTTGCCATATAAGCAAATAAAAAAATTAAAACATTTTTAAAGAAAATGTGATGCTACATTCATGTTTAAACTATTTTACAGGAGACATCTGTTACACAATGACAGATCCCCTCCAATAACAGACAAAAACAACTCTAATAACGTAGGGGAAAAAAACATCTGTGTTGAGAGGGAAAAATAAAAACTGCCATCACTGGACCAGAACCTGACATATTTTTTAAATTTTTCAAAGGCAGAATGCAATTGCACTGATGGATAAACCAAAGAGAAAATTAAGACGGCCAAAACACTGGAAAGAAGGATAACAAAAGCCATTCTCAGTGATGGAACCCCTGAAGAAGCTTCAAGTGCCTCTGCCAGTTCAGAAAAAAATGAGACTGTGTTATAGGGCATCAAATCATATGAAATAAATGAAGTATTTATTAATAAAGACACTATCATAACCTGATAAATACTACCTATTAACAGTTTTTAGAATAGATTTCTATTCAAAGCCCTTCATTTATGTTAATAGCATTAACTTCTAACTTCTAAACAGTAACCAAACAAAACTTAATTACAGCTCTAAACTTTGATAGCAAAAGTCAAAATACAACTGAAAAAAAAAAAAAGTCAAGAAGGGGAAGGCAGAAAAGGAAGATGGAAAGATAAATGAACCAATTATTTTATAAATAACAGCTACATTCATTTTGAAATTACATAGTTGAGAATCATAGATTTTTGAGATTGATGAATCAAATCTAAGCACATTATTAAAACATGGCAACTAGATGAATTGAAATCATTTACAATTATCAAATAGATTGTGAAGGGCAAGAGATGGCCAATGTGTCCCAAATTCTTGGCCTTCAGCGGGGAAGATAACAGATACTGTCTAAAATTACTAAGACAAAGAAATAGAAACAAAGTATTTACTGTCATGGTCATAACCGTAGCAAAAGTAAAGGAAGGGAATTATATTGTTCATCTTAATGCCCATTTCTACTGTGTGGAGTTTTTGTTGTTGTTGTTCGTTTGTTTGTTTTTTTGCCAACTGTGGCATGCCTTAGCTTCCTAATTCAAAAAGCAAAAGTTACAAAGTTAACTACCGTCAAAGGCTCCCTTGAGTACTAGAGACCTTTGCATGCCCATTTCCCACACCTTTCCACTACCAATTCGCCCCTCCTCCCACCATTTCACAGACCATCCACCTCCACCATCCAGAGAGGGTTACCCCAACTTCAGACTACCTTTCTACAAAGCCACTGGTAGATAACTGATACTGTCAGTCTCTGCCACCAGCCGGCAGAAATCGGAAGCGGGGGCTTGGTAGCCAGCGCCTGGCACATAGTAACCGCTCAACCGCCTCGGATTCATCGATCCGGGGGTTTGGGGAAAGGCGGGCCACCCATAAGTCTCCCGGCTCAGGGTCCCTCAGCCCCTTGGGTCCCCGCCTCCTTACACTCCGAGGTGTGTGTGCGACTCGATCTTTCCGCAGGCGATGGTAGCCGGGCCCGGCTCGAATCCGAGCGCCAGCAGATACATCCAGAGATGCTGCCTCTCAAAAGAAGCGCTCCAGGCAGAGCTCATCCTCACGGTAGTTACAGTGACTTCAAAGGAAGAAAAGGCCGGCTCAAGCGACTGTGAGGGCCCTCAATATCCCTCCCTACCCTCAGCCTGATGTAGTGAGGTCCCCTCCATTGCCACCGCCCGCTGCTTTCCAGCCCGGAGCCATTTCGTCTCAAATGGCCGAAAGGACTCTGAAAAAACGAGCGTCGAAAGACAGTGCAGCCACCGCTGGCTAAGTGAAGACACCACAAACTAAGACTCCCGCGCTTCAGGAAGAGCCGAGTGCGCCGACTCCGCCTAACTTCCGGGGGAGGAGGGACTTCCTTGGAGAACTGTATCTCCCGCCATGCAACGCGCCCTATTCCCGGCCTTTCCGTTCACTCCCAGCGGGAAACTACAAGGCCCACAATGCGTCGTGGGTAGGGACTGTCCCCGTGCCCGCGCCTTTCCAGTCCTTGACGTTTGCGATTCCTACTACTTGTGTATGATTATTAAATAGTCAGACAAAAAGGCACAGACGGAGTACTGCGGCTCGATGTAGTGAGAAAAGCACCGAGCATTTGACCCTGAACAAGTCACCTAACTTCTAAGCCTCAGTTCTATCATTAGCAAAATCTTTACCATCAAATGCTAACTCTTCCCTTCATCTTCTTTCTGTAATTGAAATCTGACGCTCTCCTAAGCATACTGTATCCCCTGCAGCATTCTCAATGTTTAACTGTTCTCTTTGGTAAACCCCCTATAAAACAGGCCTGGAGCTGGGATGGCTTATCCCCCTTATTTCAAGTTGCCATTCCTGGCAATTATTGCCTCCTGCCTCAATAAAACCAGCTCCTCCGAAGTTTATTCTCTTCTTATAGAGGTCATCTATATGATCTTAGAATCACTGGACCTCAGCCTGAGATTTACAACTTAATTCCCTGTCTCACCAGCATTGTTAGTGAGAGGTTTTGGTGATATCAGTATCCAGGTAGGTGACCTTTTCAATACCCTAGCCTCTCAATTAATTAGCCTGCTTTCCAATAACTTTGTCTTCCATTCTATCAGGTCGGTGGCAATGACTTAGAACAAAGCAGCCCATAGGGAAAGAAACATCAATCATGTGCCAACAGAAACGTCTGCCAATCAGCAACATCTCCTGACTAATGCCTGTCAATCAGCAGAACTCCCTGGCCAATCCTGGAGTTCAACCAGCTCCCCTGACCAACTCCAGCTAGACAAGGGACCCCAAAAACACCTTTTCCTGTCCCAAGCCCTTCCCTTCCTGCCTTAAGTCCCAAAAAAGCCCAGTCCGGTCAAGCTCCCACTGGGTTTCTCCTCAGAGCCTTCTCCTGTCCACTCTGTCGGTCTGATGGAGCTCTACTGGGGAGTGAGTCTCAAATAAAGCCTCCTTCAGCGGCCTTTTTAAATCTGCCTCCTTTGGTCGCTGCCCGCCTTGCCTGATCTTACACATTCCACCCACTCTATTGGAATATAACTATAAAATCTGCCACTATCAACTACTGCAAAACCTCCATAACTTCAATTTCAACCTCCATTTTCTAACTTTCCAGCTCAATCCCTCCAAATCTTATTCCAACAATCCTCGGATCACTAGAATTTGTAATCCTTTTGTCTCTACATTGTCTCTTACTCTGTTGATAACATTATAATCATTACCTTGAAGACATCATCAGCTCTCTGGCATCTTTCTCTGCCAGATTTATTTAGCAAAACCCAAACCCCTATTAAATCCAGCCCTCTATTTACTCTACACCTGCACTTAGCAGATAAACACTTATTTTGTCTGTTCTCACCCAAAATTTGTAACTCAAGTGAGCTCTTAAGCCTACCCACTGAACACTACTATTTTTCCCAAAGCTTACATGTACATATGCACTCGCACACACACATAATTATGAACTCACAAATTTAAACTTACTTAAGGAGTTCAATCTATTATATTTATTATCCATGTAGAGATTCAAATTGTCTTATATTTGGCCAACTGGAACCTCTTCAACTTGGTATTCAAGAAGTTTAGACTCATTTTTTACATTTCTTGCCTCAGACCTGGAATTAGTCATTTCTCCAAGAAAACCTGATTTCTTTTAGTGATAAATGATATTTTGTGACTATAAAGGCACTAGGGATGTTCATAGCTTCTGGGTTGGCCAATGCTTCTACCATTTACTTAAGTAACTAATATCTATTGCTGTTTTGTGCCAGGGATTGCTCCACACTTTTAAAAAATGTTAACTACGAAATCTCACCTTATAGATGAGAAAATTGAGGCACAGAAAACTGAAGTAACTTGCTCAGGTCACACAGTAAGTGGTACAGTAAGTTTAGAAACTGGAGCCTGAGCCTTTATCCATCATGCTTTACTTGTTCCCAGTTGACCTGCGTTTATTCACATGCCCATCCCTTAGTTAAGGGAAAGCAAAAACCCTTGACCAGCAGACTCATAGAGATACCAAAAGAAGCAGAAATGAAAATGAATCCTGAAAGATCCAAAAAACAAGTGTCCAGTAAAAAAAAAAAAAAAAAACTGGGTAATTGTGTTCAATGGTGCATAACCTACAATCCCAGCAACTCAGGAGGTGGAGACAGAAACACAAGTTTGAGACCAGTCTCTGCAATTTAGTGAGACACTATCTTAAAATTAAAAAAAAAAAAAATTTAAAGGCTGGGAAAGTAGCTCAGTGGTAGAGGGCCCTAGGGTTCAATTACCAGTACCAAAAGAAAAAAGAAGAAAAGAAGACATCCAAGCTTACACAGCTCAATTTTTATTATAGGCATTTCAGAAATTAAACTTTGAAGAGTTATATAAAATGATATATGACACATAACAAGATCTCAAAAGTTTAGGTCAAAGTTTTCTTGCAATTAAGATCAAGCAACCAAAAACTACATTAACATCCTTCAAAAACCACAGGAATAAACACACGAGCAAAGATGTATTTTACTGTGATACAAATTGCATATCCAGCCAAAAGGAATTTTTATTTTTTGGTTAATTATTCCCTGAGAGTTCAGGACCATTAGCGTGTGAATGATTTGCTCCATCCTCCTCTTCCAAAGCTATAATATCTGGAATTTCATCAGTCTCTGATGTCAAGTCTATGATAGTGAAATCAATCACCTGTAAAAGAAGAATCTTGGATATTAAATGATCACTAATTAAGTGAACTGTTAGGTCCACATGAGGTCTTAGAAACATTATGGTTCTGGGTTGTTTTTTGGTTTGTTTTTTGTTTGTTTTCATAGGGGATTGAACCGAGGGTTGCTTTACCACTGAGCTACATCCCCAGTCCTCTTTTTTTATTTTTTTTTTTTTTATTTTTTTTGAGACAAGTTCTCACTAAGTTGCTGAGAGTCTTGCTAAGTTGCTGAGGCTGGCTTTGAATTTGTGATGCTCCTGCCTTACCTCCCCAGTCACTGGGATTACACACATGCATCACCAGGCTGTCCTCAAACTCCTGGGCTTAAGTGCTCCTCCTGCTTCAGCCTCCCAAGTAGCTGGGAACACAGGCACACACCATCATGCACAACTCCTTAAGTTATTAAATATTCCATGGAGTTGAATTTTGATTCTTTCAAAGCTGTACTTTTAAAAAAGATGTTTGTCCACTCATATTATAAAAGCACTAAGAAAACTTTTCTTTAAAAGAAACTAGAGGTAAAATCTATTAGGTACTTTTTTGAAAATACCAGATATAAAGCATTCCTGGGGGCTGGGATGTAGCTCAGTGGCAAAGTATCTGCCTTGCATTCTCAAAGCCCCTGGGTTCAACCCCCAGTTCCAAAAAAGACAAAAAAAAAAAAGCATTTCTGGTTACCTATTAATTTATTATTCCCTTCAAAATAATAGTATTGTACTTTTCTGTAATTTTGAATTAAAGTACAAAATCCTTTTGGAAATGCCTAGGAACTGCAAAAGCAAATAGTCTTTTTAAAAGTTTAAATAGCCATCACAAGAGGCTGGTAGCTCAGTGGCAAAATGCATGCTTAGTATACCCAAGGCCCTGAGTTCCATTCCCAGCAATGAAAGGAAAAAAAAAAAGAAAAGAGAGGAAGGAAGAGAAGATTAGTAAAGTATAATATTACTATAGGTTGCAATCTTGATAGCACAGAGAGAAAAGTATCTGCCTAACAGAGGTAAAATCACTAAAAAAAAATTATCTATCGTCAGACACGGTGGCACATGCCTATGATCCCAGCAACTCTAGGGGCTAAGGCAAGAGGATCTGAAGTTGTAAGCCAGCCTCAACACCTTATCAAAGCCATAAGCAATTGAGCAAGATCCTGTCTCTAAATAAAATATTGAAAAGGAATGGGGAGGGCTGGGATTGTGGCTCACACTTGCCTAACACGTGTGAGGCACTGGGTTCAATCCTCAGCACCACATAAAAATAAATAAAATCAAGATATTGTGTTCAACTAAAAAAAAATTAAAAGTGGGGGGCTGGGGATGTGTCTCAGTGGTTAAGTACCCCTGGATTCAATCCCCAGAACCAAAAAAATAAATAAAAGACAAAAAAGGGATGGGGATGTGGTTCAGGTTAAGTACCACTGGGTTCAATCCCCAGTACCAGGAAAACAAAAAAAGTATCTCAAAAAATACACAAGAAAGGGGGATCATGAACTGAACGATTTCATACATGTTTGAGTTTGTCAGGCTGAACCTAACTACTATGTATAACCATAAAACTCTAATAAAAAATAATTTTTAAAAAAAGAACAGGGCACAGTGGTGCACACCTGTAATCCCAGCGGCTTGAGTTCAAAGCCAGACTCAGCAATTTAGCAAGCCCCTAAGCAACTTAGCAAAACTCTGTCTCAAAATAAAAAAGGGTTAATGGCTGGGGACTTAGCTCAGTTGATAGAGTACCTGCTTCACATGCACAAGACCCTGGATTCAATCCCCAGCAGCCCCCCCCCCCCCCCGCAAAAAAAGACTGGAGATTGCCTCCTCATTGAGCACTTCTGGGCTCAACACCTGGTATCAAAACAAACAAACCACACAGAAGAGAAGAAAGGGACTTAGAAACTAATATTTAAAGTTAATATTTAACTTTAACTTTATAGAATAAGAAGGTACAGAATTTATGCTTGAATGACATAAGATTCTGTAAATAAATAGTGATAATGTCTATACAAAATTGTGAATATACTTTTTTGTGTGGTGCTGGGAATTAAATCTAAGACCTTTTACATGCAGAATACTTAATGCCAGTGAATTGTACACTTAAAAATTCCTGAGATGGTAAATTTGATTTATGTAGATTTTACCATCACCACAACAAAATAATTTTTAAAAAAGACAAGAATATTGATTTGTTCTTCAGGTCCTTCATTTGGCTGGTTGAGGTCCCCACTATAATTTTCCCTACAATTCAGGTGCTCAGAGAACTGTGTGGTCTAAGATATAACTTTCACCATTTTGTTCCTGAGGCTTTCTATTTGGGAAAAACAAATTGTATTATAGCTCTCCACACGTTTACTTTGCAAAGGTTACGTCCAACTTGACATCCTCAAAAGCCAGCAATGAGTCCTGTGCTGTGCATGCCCATAATCCCAGCTATTCAGATGGTTGAGGCAGAAGGATCACAAGTTTGAAGCCAGTGTTGTCAATTTAGCAAGACTTTGTCTCAAAACAAAAAATAAAAATGTTTGAACATGCCAGGTACTGTGGCGCATGCCTGTAATTCCAGCAGCTCAGCAGGCTGAGGCAGAAGAATTAATAGTACAAAGCCAGACTCAGCAAAAGTGAGGTGCTAGGCAACCCAGTGAGAACCTGTCTCTAAATAAAATACAAAATAGGGCTGGGGATGTGGCTCAGTGGTAAGTGCCTCTGAGTTCATTCACCAGTACCAAAAAAGAAAAAAAATGTCTGAAGATGTAGTTCTGTGGTAGAGTATTTTCCCAGCATGCACAAGCCCCCATGGATAGCAAAAAGAAAAAAAAAAAAATCCAGTAATGCTTATACAAATTGGTTCAGTGCATCAGCCAGAAAACTATTTTAATTTTAGACTTTTTAGTTTAAGATATGCTTGCTTAGATTTCTCTCTCAATTATTTCTATTTCTTGTATATGTTAACATCCAATGAAATACTTATTTTCAATATGTTTTAATTTTTATCTATCTTACTATCATATTACTAAATTGTATCTACTTAATTTTGCTTTGTTTTTATTAAAACAATGGAACAGGAAATGGCAACACTGAGGACATAAGCAGAGGGATTTTCTAAGCAAGAGGCAGCTTTCTCCTATCAGAGGACTAGAGTGCTAGAATGGAAAAAAAAAATGCACTTGGACATCAGTAGACACTGGCAAAGTCCCTGCCTTTTCACTTAACCTCCTCCCTCCTAGTTAACCTCTTTCACCTGTTTCCTCATCTCTCAAGTGAGAAAAATACCTAATTGATTTGGTTGTGAGAAATAAAAGTAGTATGAGCCTTGCTTTTGAAAGGTGCTCAATAAACAATAGTTTTTTAAATAGTAACATAACACGCATGCACTCACATGCACACACACATACAAATTCACCTATGTACATGGTAACAGTTGGGCTAAAGTAGATTTCTTTGCAGAATAGTACAAGTTCTACATTCAGAGTTTTAGTCCCCACAACCACAATCCAAAAAAGTACCTATGGTACCCAAGATTGCTTGAGAGAACCATATGAATAATTTGCTTTCCATATGTTCAGAATGATTTAGTGTCCAATTTCCATTAGACTATCACCAATGTCTGGTTGTCATCAGACCCTACTGTGAAGCTTGGGCTGTAAAGGAAATAGGGAAGGGTGGGAAGCTAAGAGGTTATCAAGTTTTCACAGTAAGTTTAATTTACAATGTGGTGGTTTTGCCTGACCATCTTCACTGGGTTTTTAGAAACTATTTCATAGATTTAAAAAATCCCTGTTTCATTGGCATAAACAGTACAGTTATGGACTCTCAAAGCAGGAATGTACACAGTGTCTTGCTCTGAATGCCTATCAGAGATAGAGGCCAAAATCAAAATTGGATGCAAATGTGACAGTAATAAGGAAACCACAGACTCTATTGCAAGAATAGAAAGCCAGTAATACATTTTTTTAAAAAAATATTATTTTGGGGCTGGGGATGTGGCTCAAGCGCTAATGTGCTCTCCTGGCGTGCGCGGGGCACTGGGTTCGATCCTCAGCACCAAATAAAAAATAAAATAAAGATGTTGGGTCCACTGAAAATTAAATTGTTGAGAGCCACAGTTTAGTCGGAATGACGCCTGGCATTTTGCTAGAGGGAATGGTTGAAAGGTGACCCTGGGAGGCTCTGGGATTAGGGTGGATCCTGCTGGGAATAGGGCAGCTCTGGGATTAGGGCAGATCCTGCTACCTCGGGCGCCTGCTACTTTGGAGTTCCCATTGGGGTTCTGGGAGAATTGGCACGTGACCTGGTGGAGGGAGTGTATTCCCGGGAAGTGTGTGTAGAGTGCCGGTGAGAGTTCGGGAATAAAGAGTTGCTGTTTGAACCTACAAGACTTTGTGGCAGCTCGGTTATTTTGTGCCCAGACTGCGGCAATAAATATTAAAAAAAAAAAAAAATTTAAAATATTATTTTAGTTATAGATGGACACAATACCTTTATTTTGTTTATTTAGTTTATGTGGTGCTGGGGAACGAACCAGGTGCCTCATGCATGTTAGGCAAGCACTCTACCACTGGGCCAAAACCTCAGCCCTGGTAATACATTATTTAAAAAAAAAAAAAAAAAGTTGTTCATCATGCAACCTGTAGAGGGCACCTCTCATATAATAAACTTCATAGATCCACATATTTATTATGACAAATTTTCATTAGATGGCACTAAACACTTTGAGGATGGGGAGCCTTTTTCTAATTTTCATAAAGCTGATCTAGTCATGGCCCTGAGCCCTGGATACATGAGGCTATAACAAGAATAGAAACCCCACCACTAGGGATTTAATTTGCCTGTACAGGTAGGGGTATATACAATGCTGATAAATGTGACACAGGATCAGGAAATATAATTTATTTTTAAATACAAATAATAAATTGGGAAAGGCCCTAAATTTTAATATTTTAGGCTAAAAAAGGATTGTGCAAAAGGCAAAGAGAGCTAAATAACACCAAATA